TCATACACCAGAGCAGTGTACAGCAAGCAGTTTCCTGGTCGGTGAATGAGAACTTGGAAAAATTCATCACAGCATGATGTGCGGACAACACTGTCCCTGAAAGAGGCAGCCCTCGTTAGCTGAGGGGGGTCTTCTGGACCCACACTGGGTCAGGGCCGTTCCCCAGTCAGAGAGAAAGGAATGGGGATCTCACCCAGGGATCAGATGCATAATTTCCTCAAGCAAATGAAAGAAGAAAGGTCAGCTTCTCTGAGCCGCCCTGGGACTGTCATTGAGGCACACTGTGCGGGTGGGCCAGATGGTAGAGGTGAAGTGGCTTCAGTCAGACCAGCGGCCACAAAAAGTGACATCAATCTGGTAACAGCCCTGGGCAGGTGAGGAGAGGCAATGCAGCTCCTTAAAGCCTCCCTGTACCTGACACAAAGAATGTTGCACAGTGTATATTCCACTAAGAACTTTTTTTAATTCCAGTAAATGTTATAGGAATTAGGAAATAAAACATTCCCAGCATATATAAGGCTTTTTGCCAGTGTGAATTATCTGGTGTCAAAAAAGGTAAGATTTGAGACTAAAAGACCCACATTCACTACACTCTTAAAGTCTTTTACCCATGAGCACTCCCCAGTGTTGAAGGAGGCTGGAGGACCGGCTACGAGCTTTCCCTCGTTCGCCACACTCACAGGCTGTCCAAGAGAACGTGCTCAGCACCGTTCAACCTGGAGAGAGTGTGATCTGAAGGACTTCCCACCTTCATATGGCTTTTCTCCAGTATAAACTCTTGGGTGTTGAATCAGGGTAGAGTTATCATTAAAGGATTTCCCACATTCGCCACATGTATAAGGTTTTTCTCCAGAAAGAACTCGAAGGTGTTGAATCAGGTGTCAGTGTTGTCCAAAGTATTCCCCATATTTATTACACTCATGTGGCCTTTCTCCAGAGGGTACTTCAATACAAATTCAATTTGTATTGAATGAGGGCAGAGTTTGGGTTGCAAGACTTGCCATAATCCCTAGGCTCATAGGGCATTGCTCCAGTGTGAATTCTCCTATGTCAAATGATATTACAGATTTAAAAACTTTCCCACATTTCCTAGACTCATTAAGCTCTTCTCCAGAGCAGACACCCCAATGCTGAACAAGTTTCTGGGTGTGGCTGGCAGCTTTTTCACATTCATCCCATTGGTGGTGACATTTTCCGTCATGAAAGGACTGCCCATTCTCACTGCCACTGGGTGGCTCCTCAGTGTCACGAGTGGCCTGGAGCTGGAGAAGGCCTGATATGGCTGGAAAGTCTTCCAAATCCTCCCTACAGAAAAAAGGTGGTTGTGACAGGTACGAGCTACATCTGGCCACAGACGAGGCTCTGTCCGGATCTCCTTTCTCCAGGGCTTCTCTGCATTCACAGGCCTCTGTTGCTGGTGAAGGTCTGCACTGAAACAGAGGCCTCTCACACACGTGCCACTGAAGGATGCTTTCTGCCCAAGGTGTGCTGCTTGGAACTCAGTCAGGCGCACAATAGCTTTCAAGACTGAGACACACTGCCCACAGGGATGGGTCTTCTGGGGTGCAGGGGCCATTTTCAAAGACCTGACCTGTGATTGCTCCTACACATGCACTCTTCTCAGAAGGGGCCTCCTCATCTTCCTTTTTATGCCAACAACCTGAAAGCAGAGAAATGCTGAGGAAATGGATGTGGACATTGGTGGGGGGGAAGGAAGTTCCATTACAAAGGTATGTCAAAAATATGCCAGTTCCATGGGATTGGCTGAAAGGGACCTGCAGGCAGGTTGAATATGGTGCTGCTGTGCAGTACTGAACCTCTAAGATCACAAAGTAGGGGAGACCTCACCAGAAAAAAGGCACAAAAATGGCAAGCACCACATGAAAAAGAAGCAGGATCTCCAACTCGTCATGCTAACAGCGTTTGGTAGGGCTTGTCTGCTGGTGACGTGGGCAAGCTGTGCAGGTTAGTTACGTCCTTTTCTCAGTAAACTTCAATAAATGCATAGATGGTGTTCGAGAACTGCTTAAAGTTGTATGGGCACCTCATCACCCATGCATAGCTAAGTGGTGGAGAAACTGCAGAGGGAGCCGTGCAGAGAAAGAGGGGATGCATGGAGGCCACGAACGTGAAGGGAGCCAGGAGCCGGAAAGTCACAGGTGAAATGACATGTCCGCAAAGTATCAAGGATGGAATTGATATGTCAGAAAAAATGTGAGCTCTCGCTAGGGTGCTTAGTGGGATGGAGCATAGTCCTGTGCACCAAAATATTGTGGGTTGGATTACCAGTCGGGGCACATACGTAGGCTGGGGTTAGATTCCCCAGTTGGGTGGGTAAGGGAGGCAACCGATCGATGTCTTTCTCTGTCTCTCTCTTCCTTTCCCCCTGTCTTTCTTTCTAAAATCTACAGGGTCTGGCACAAATAATGCCCCTTTTTTATTTCATAAAAATCTTTTATTAGAAAATCTAAGCATGTAATTCTGTAACATAGCAATATCACACTCAAGCACACCAGGACATTTTAGGTGAAATATTCAAATTGCTGTCCATCTTGTGCAGGACATTCACGAACCCTACCAACCACACCGCATGGCGTTAGTTCTGCCAGACCCTGTATAAACATATCCTTGGGTGAGGACTAATAAGAACATTTGTGAAACATGATTTACAGAGAGCTATTAATAATGATTATGTAGTTATTCAAAGACAGTGGTATAAATAGCTGTAAGGACATACCAGTGGAGGGGAAAAAGAGTTAAGACTTCAGATAATTTTTATGAAGAGACACTGAAATCTGAGTTAGACTGAGCTGAATCTTGGTATTGTGATTCTTTTTTTATTTATTTATATTGAATTTGTATTTATAGATTCTTTTTTCAAAGTTATATTTAATTTATATTTACTAATTTTAGAAATAGTGTTGGTTGACACACATTTGGAAAAATGCTCCATCAGTAAATATCATAGAAATGTAAATTAAACTGCAATGAGGTATTATCTCACACCTATCAGAGTGGCTATCATCAGTCAATAAACACACAAGTGCTAGTGAGAATGTGGAGAAAAGGGAACCATTGTGCACTGTTGGTAGAAAGGTAGATTGGTGCAGCCCCTGTGGAAAGCGGTATGGAATTACCTCAAAAAATTAAAAATGGAACTGCCTCATGACCCAGTGACTCCACTTCTCAAATATATTTGGAGAAACCCAAAACACAAATTTTAAAAAAATATATGCATCTCTATGTCCATTGCAGCGTTATTTACAGTAGTCAAGATTTAGAAGTAGCCCTAGGGCCCATCAGTAGATGAGTAGATCAAAAAGCAGTGGACACCCTGGCCACTGTGGCTCAGGTGGTTGGAGCATTGTCGCCTACATCGAAAGGTCGGGGGTTCGATTCCCAGTCAGGGCACATACCTAGGTTATGGGTTCAATCCTCAGTGAGGGTGGGTATGAGAAGCAGCCAGTCAATGTTTCTCTCATCCTTCCTTCTAAAATCAATAAACAAAAAAGGCAGTGGTACATTTACACAACTGAATACTACTCTGCCATGAAAAAAGAAAGAAATGTTACATTTTGAGACAGGATGGCTGGCTCTGGAGAACATTATTCTAAGAGAAATAAGCTCATTCAGAGAAAGAAAAGTACCATGCGATTTTACTCATATGTGGAATCTATTGAAGGAAACAGACAAAATAGAGACAGACTCATAGATACAGAGAAGAGATTGAGACTGTCGGGGGAGGGGGTTGGAAGGGCTCGGTGAAAAGGGTGAAGGGATTAAGCAAACAAACAAACAAACAAAAAACCCAAAACCCTCAAAGACACAGAAAACAGTATGATTACCAGAGGTAAAGGGGGTTGGGGGAGGTAGTAGAGGGTAAAGGGGGGATAAATGGTGATGGAAACAGACTTACTTTGGGTGCTGAACACACAACATATAGATGATGTATTATACATATAATCATACACCTGAAACCTATATAATTTTATTAACCAATGTCATCCCAATAAGTTGGATAAAAAGAAATAATAGAAACATGGAAAAATAGAATGTTCATAATAGCAAAACACTGAGATACAGCCCCAGAAGGAGGGCAGCTTCTCCACACAGTGGAGCCTTATCTGCAATCTCATAGTCTTCCCTTGTATGAATGCAGAGAGGAAAACAGAGAAATGTCACAATTTACGTGACAGATGGCCCCCTTTGTGATTCAGGCCATCCCTGCATGGAGCCTTTCACTTTCTCAGTGGGACTGAGCCCCAGTTCCTAGTGGACACCAGCTCACAAATGGATTCTGAATAACCAGCCTGTGTGCTTTTGCCTCCGCACTGCACAGAATCCTTTTTTCCTCCAAAACACCTCTTTAAACTGGTTGGGTAAATAAGTTCCTTCATTCCCCCTCCCCAATACCTGCCATCTTTGGAACAAATGAATGGAAAACATTGGACTTTTATGGTATCTGTTCCTAACATAGCGTTCTGCAACTTTCAGTCACCAGTCATATTCACATCCCATTTAGCTATTGATGTTTCCAGTGGATTAAAGAAATGATTATATCATTTGAATATATTAGTTCCTTTTCATGGACTAAGGCTTATTCCCGTGTTCCCACCTTCCCTCCCCACGGGTTTAGGTGCCTGTGGCTGCACAAAAATAAAGGGTGTGGACAGGGGACTGGGTAGCAGGTAGGTTTGTGTCCTGGCGTTGGAGCTCACTATCTTCTCACATGGGACACATGCCTGGATTTTAAAAAGTAAACAACACAAACATTACACTTTCATTTATTCAACAGGTATTTATTGGTCATTTAAAATGTGTCAGCTACTTTATAGGCACCCGAGATACTTTGGTAAACAAAACAAATTCCCTGTCCTCCTTAAACTTACATTTTAGAGGGGGAGACAATGAATGGAATATATGATTAAGAAATTATAAAGTATGTTCTAAATAGAGAAGTACAATGGAAATATATACACTCGCAGACATTTTCCTATGCATTACCCAGAGGAAGCTTCGGGCGTGGAGGAAACACATCTGAAGACAGTTCTCTGGTGCGTCCTCAGGTGGCGGTGGTAGGTGGATGACTGGCGGAAGCATCTCTGGCACACGGAACACACATAGGGCTTCTCTCCCGTGTGGATTCTCTCATGAGCCTGAAGGTTGGTTCTGTGGCTGAAGGACTTGGCACATATGCTGCACCTGAAAGGCTTCTCTCCCACATGAATCTTCTGATGCACGTGTAGGTCTGAGGCCTGGACAAAGCCTTTGTCACACACGGCACAAATAAAAGTCCTCTCATTATTGTGTCTTCTCTGATGGACTTTTAACCGAGAGAAATACCTAAAGATCTTAGGACACTTGTCACATTGGTATGATCTTTGGGCTCTGCGGAATCTTCCTTGGTGTCCCCCACAAGTGGCGCTTCCAGCATTGCTCTGGTGGGTAGGTATGGGCTCAGGGGCGACTTGGTGCAGCCTGGAGGGAAACGCTGGTCCCGCCTTCTTGAGGACATCTTGATAAGAGGGTCCTTTCTGGGACCCGTCCTGGGACCTGGAGGTGCCTAGACTTGCTCTTCTGGAGCTGAGTGGATTCTCCAAAGAAACATCTCCCCCTTCAGGAGCAGGAAAGGTCTCTCCCTGGATAATGATTAGGGAAGGTGTCTGATGACCTTGACCAGTAATATTGTCATTTACTTCAGTAGTTTTCAAAGAAATGTTGCCACCATTTTCTTTATCCTCATCTCCTGTGAAAATAAAGACATGACTCAGTGAAACTGTATCCAAGAAAGAGTTTATGTGGAATATCCTTCAGGTCCCTGGGCTCCCCTAATTCACCTTGTCCTGTTTGCAGAGAAGCATCTTGGGGAGTCCAGGAGTGTGTCCCCACATTTGTCACTGTTGAGGTTCCTGCTGACAACTGTTTTGTTAAATGAACAATGACTTCTCTTAAGGGCATATTCTCAGAAAAGAGGGCTTCTTGTCCCTGCATGTGGACGTGGACCTGTTTAAAAAAAAAAAGAAAGGAAAGAGCAGAGCTACTATGTGGGAAACTGACCCAGTCACTCTTCCCAAATCTCTGTACCACAGGCTCCCACACCTCATGGTTCTGCTCTGAGCTCTACTTGCATTATATTTCTTTGTAATTTCTTCATTCTTAATGAACAAACCAATACCAAGTTTTTCTGGGGAAAACCAGCTCATGCTCAGCCATTTCTCCTCATCCTTGACTGACTGACAATTTCTCAGTGAGTCCTCCTACCACCTCACCAATGAAAATCACTTACTAAATTAATGTTGGCTCTTAGATATCCCACTGAATTAGTGCCTATAAAACTTTATTGTTGCCTACTTTGGATGGTAGATTCCCTGGTGAGGACTAATAACTGGGTCTACGGTAACTCTTTCTCTACTTCGGGGCACCCTCAACAGACTGTAATTATTTCTGTCTCCTTTCTGCCGCTCACCCCAGGGGTCAGAATCCTCCACTCACCAGGCCAGGGGGCTCTATGCAGTCATCACTCAGGCCTTCCATGAATGTCTCCAGGTTTCTGCCACTTGCTTCCCATTTCTCCTTCAACATGGATCTGCCACTGTAGTGCCTGTTGACCATAAACTGTTCCAGGACCACTTGAAAAATAATTTCATCCTTGCTGTGTTGTTCTGGCTGCAGCCATGAGTGAAATGCGTTATAAATTCTTTGCAGTTCCTGCCTCGCGCACGAGTTATTGCTGTTTTGAAATGAGCTGAGCTGAGTGTTCTGGAACCCAGGGTGCCCCTCTGCCTTTTGGAGAGCAGCTCTCTGGCTGGGTATAAAGTCCATGTGTTCTGACCCACAGTCATCCCTGCATGGTTCAGACAGAAATGAGGTTCTGAGGTCTAAATCCATTCTTGCAATATTTTTCAGAGCCTCAACTTCCAGGATTCTGTTTTTGAACTCCTGTGTTGATAGTGCTGGATGCTAAAAAGACCGTGAGCTAGAAATAGAAGAGAGATGAGAGAGAGAGATATTTAATTCTGTCACTGGCATACTTAAAAAATAGAAGATAAATTACAAGCTCAGATCACCATATTTTGCTGTGTATAATGCACACATTTTTGCCCTATTTTTTTAGAGAAAAATAAGGATGCATATTAGACATGGGTATAATGATTACATCCCTTAAGTATAATAATCTCATGTATAATGCACACAAAAACAGGGATGTACATTATAAATGGGAGTGCATTACACATGGCAAAACACAGTATTTCATATGTGATTTTTATAAGATATTTCAGAGAGAAATAATGTCAATTCTTACCCAAATTCTCTAAGAGCAGAGATGATCCTCTTTTAATTAGTGGAGTTAATTAATCAACCTTCCTGATAACAAAATCTTACAAGTACATTATGGAAAGTAACATGAGTGGCCAATGATTCTCATGAGCATAGACATAGAAATCCTAAGCTAAATATCTGAAAATCAAACCCAGTCATATATAAGGAAAATGCCTCATGAATAGATAGGTTTTATCTTCTACATGGAAGTTGGGTTAAAATTCAAAAAGTAATATGATTTATCCCATTAAAAGAATGGAAAGAACAAAATGTATCTTAATAGATACATTAAATATGTTCAAGAAAGTCACTATTCAATGCTGAGAAAGACATTTTGTAAACTAGAAACAGAATACATACAGAAAAAATTATTCTTAAACGTTTTGTCCTTGAGACTCAAAGATGGAAGCCCATTATCAACTCTATACAACATTTGTCTGGTATCTAAACCAGTGAAATAAGATCAGAAAACATGTCACTCTTATTTATAGATGGCCTGATTTTGTCTGAAGGAAAATCCAAAATATTTTACAAATATTAGACTAGGCAAATATAGCAAGGTATCTGAAACAGTTCAAGGTGCCAAAATCAATTTCTGCAATAAGACAAGCAGATAAAGTTAAAGTAAAAATTGTATCACTTCTTTTACCAATACCACATGTCTACAAACAAATCTAATAAAAGATATGCAAGCTCTGGTCGGGAAGCTCAGTTGGTTACAGTGTCATTCTAATATACCAAGGTTGAAGGTTTGATCCCTAGTCAGGGCACATGCGAGAAGCATTCAATGAATGCATCCTCACCCGAGGACATATTCTCATTGCTTTTAGAGGTGGAGAGACAGAGAGAGAGAGAGAGAAAGAGCACGTGTGTGTGCGCGAGAGAAATAGAAACATTGATTGTTTGCCTTCTCATTCGCGCCCCAACTGGGAATCAAACACTCAGTCTGAGTATGTGCTCCGACTAGGAATCAAGCCCAAACCTTTTGGTCTATAGTACAACGCTCCAATTGAGCCACACCAGCCAAGGCAATAAATTAAAAATTTTTAAAAAGAGAGATAAACAAGATGTCTATACTGATAATACAAAATATTAATATATGCCCTGACTGATGTGGTTCAGTGGGTTGGGTGTTGGCCTGGAAACCAAAAGATCACCGGTTCAATTGCCTGTCTGGACACATGCCTGGGCTGTGGGCCCGGACCCCAAATGGGGGTATACGAGAGGCAATCAATTGACGTTTCTCTGGTACATCGATCTTTCCCTCTCTTCCAACCTTCCCTCCTACGTAAAGAGAAATAAAATCTTTAAAAAATTAATATATGGAAAGAAAAGCCATGTATATGGATTGATTGAAAGGCTCAATGTTATAGAAAAGGTAATATTGTTCCAAATTGATTTATATAGTCAATGCAATTTCACAGAACATCCAGAAAATTTATGTGTATGTATCTGTGAAAATTGACAAAGTGATTCTAAAATGACATGTGTATCGAAAGGCCAAAAAATAAACGAGATATTTTATTAAATTTTTAAATTTTATTTATTTTAGACAGAGGGGAAGGGAAGAAGAAAGAGAGGTAGAGAAATATCAGTGTATGGTTGCCTCTTGCCCATCCCCCACTGGGGTACTGCCCCTCACCCAGGCATGTGCCCTACACTGGGAATCCAACCGGGGACCCTTTGGTTTTCAGGCCTGTGCTCAGCCTACCAAGCCACACCAGCCAGGGCTAAACAAAATATTTCTGAAGAAAAAATTTAGAGGGTTTACACAACCAGATAATAAAGTCTCATTTTGTGACGACTGCTAACACTTAAGTCATAAAGGCACAAAGATTGACAAATAGAGCAACAAAATAGTGTCCCAATAGAGGATAAGAGAGACAGTTATTTGATTTGCGAAAAATATGACACTGACTTGATGCCATTAAATGAAGCCAATGATCTGGTCTATGGTACATTCTTTTAATTAATGTAAGAAAATCTAGTCTTAGAAGTAGAGATAAGTGAGCAAGATAGAAGAGATGGGCCAGAATCCATGCAAATAAGTCACGCTGAAAAGTCTCGCACAGACCTGTGTCTGGCCACTCCAGCTATACCGCTCTGTTAGTCCTGTGATCTCTTAGGAAATTTTCCTTCATCACCTTTTGTAGTTTTTTTCCCTCCTTAACGTTTCTTTTCCTTACAAACGTTTCTTTCTGCTTCACTGCTTTTGTTTAAGTTACGTCTTCACATTTTTCTGTGTTTCTTTTTTTATTATTTTTTTAAAAACTGATTTTAGGGAGAGAAAGGAAGGGAGAGAAACATCAGTTTGTTGTTCCACTTATTTATGGATCCATTGGTTGATTCTTGTATGTGCCCTGACTGGAGACCAAACCTGTGACCTTGGGATATCAGGACAACTCTCTAACCAAATGAGCTACCCAGCCAGGGTGGATTTTTATTTTTAATTTCACACCATAAAACAGAAAGAATGAGGGAATGGTGGGAGTCTTACATGGGCCCCAGAAAACAACTGATTTCTGTTAGTTGTTTAATATTTATTGTTAATTAAGTTCATCTGGTGGTCTGATCCGATTAACCCCCTTTGTCCCATCAATAACAGGCAAGGATGAATCCAGAAGGACTCCAGAGAAAATGCAACACAGTCTTTCCTTTTAAACTACCAGGCGGCTGTTCATCTCATGATAATCTTCTAAAGTCCTTCCTATTTCACTCTCCCTTGCCCCGAGGGAAAAGTACTAAATCCTTTCCAGATACCAGAGACCTTGCCCAGGCCTGTTCTCACCCCTCCACCCACCATCTTAGGGGTTGTGCCTGGTTCTATCTGGTATACTGGCCTTTATTATCTTTCCGTACCCTATTCTTTTTTTGCCCTCCCCACAAACTCTCCTTTTCAGGACTACTCCAGGCGCACACAGGCCACCAGTGGGTCAGACCTGCAGACATCCCACAGGGACGCAGCTGTGAAACATTGGAGTAAAGATCTTGGCATTAATGACCAGGCCAGGGTTCCAATGCGGAAGCAGCTGTTTGACCCAGACCAGCTACCCGGGGGGCGCCATCAGTGTCACAGGGCTCTAAACACACCCAGCTCCCAGAGTTGTCCCTGGAGCTTGATAAGTTAATAAATGAATAAGGCTCAGCCTAATAGCTTTGAATTTTAGCCCCCATCCCCACCCCCACCGCCGTCGGCCATGGGCCAACACTTTCCCAAGACGTCATAGAAATGAATTACTAGAAACATGCAATTAACAAGACCACATGGCCATACAAACAGACTTTTCCAGAAAAACTATCAGGCCAGGCCTTGACGTGAAATCCGCCACGTCGAGCCCTTTTAGGCCACAGCAGCTGTCAAAGGAGACCATACGCGCGTCCGGAAAAAGCCCCATATCTTTGTGCCTGGGAATGTTCACCCCAAAATTACGCCCACAGGCACGTGCACGAGACGCAAGCACAACCCTGGAACGTGGTCTTTCTTTCCGGAAACTCACCTCCGCGACAAGGCTGGACCTCCAACTGGGCAATCCGGGCCCGGAGGCCGAGCGGCCGACCGCCTGGCTGCACGGGCTCCTCGGCTGTGCCTTCCCGAGGCTCCTCCCTTTCATAAAGGGACTGGGGTCAGTAATGCAATTAAAGGCGTGATTGGATAAACCCTGCCGCGGACGGATCCCGGACGGCACCTTCCCGCTCCGGCCCGGGGATACCTACCGCCGCCGCGCGCAGTCCCCGCGGCCCCGGGCGGGAGGCCCCGTCGGGCACCCCGCCGTCTCCGCAGCGCCCTCTGACGACGGTCCCACCGCGCGGGCGTGTTGAAGGTCAACATTCGCCTCACAGACACCCTGGTCACGTGGTGTCCTAAGCGCGTCTCCTGAACGCGTGCTCATTTCCCGATATTTGGAAATCTCACGGGCGGAACAGCACAGGCTCCCCGGCGGCCAAAGGACACGCAGAGCAGCCGGGCGTTAGCGGCGCCGCGGGAACCGCAGCCCCCGAGCGCCCCGAGCCGCGGAGCCGGCCTGCCGCCCATGAAGGCCCCGAGGCAGGGCGGCTCGGTGTCTGGGCGAAGGGCGACCCCTGCGCGCGGTCCGACCGGCCGGTCTGTCAGGAAGGGTTCACCCGGAGGCCGACGGCGGCCGCCGCGCCGAGGCGCCCGGCCCCGGCCCTTCCCCCTCAGCCCTCGCCCCGGCGTGCGGCCCGTGAGGCGCCACGGGGTGACACAGGGTGTGACAGGGCGGGAGAGGACGACGGGTTGAGGGGCCGCCGAGGGAACAGGCGCAGGGGCGGCTGAGGCAGAAGCATTCGCGCCTGAAACGGCGGGGTGAGGAGTTTTCCCTTCCATCTCGGGTAGCCCTGGAAGGTTGTGAGTAGAAGAACTTGATGCGAGTTACACATTCCGCCCGGTCCCGCCCCCAAATTCGCCCAGAGTTAGAAGAGACTGGAAAGGGGATGATGACACCGAAGCACAGGGAAGTAACTACATCCCGCCCGATGAGATGTTTATGGATTTTGGAGAGAGGGAGAGAAACGTCGATGTGACAGAGAAACATCGATGGGTTGCCTTCCTTCCCCCACCCGACTGGGGATCGAACCCGGAACCTTTTAGTGTGTGGGATGATGCTCCAACCAACGGAGCCACCCCGCCAGGGCGAGGCTGAGTGCCTGTTCAAAGTCACACAGCTGGAGAGCCAGCATTGAGGAATGAGGCTCGGATATAATGAACCTATGGAGCCCTGCCATGGTTACATCCCTTTAGTGAGTTTCCTCTTCCTCCAGATTCCCATGACTACAGACGTGCTTATGGACTGGACACAGGTGAGTGGAGGCATAGTCCAGGCCCTCAATGGTCCCGATCCCACCTATTGTCTCTAGGATTGTGTCCTAGGAGCTTGGGGACCCTGACGAAACCCAGGACTGTAAACCCAGGTTACATGGAGTGGTCCCTCTTGCTAGTAACCAATGCCATGAGGTATAAAAAATTGCTGCAGACATAGGTCCCAGATTGTGCTAATGCTGGGAGGTGAGGCTGAACTTGTCCAGGCACCCGCAGGTATCCTTTCTCCTCTCCCGTGAGACAGAAAGGGAAACGGAGAGAAGGTGGGATGGTGCCAGGCTGGGACTGGCTCCTCGAGAAGTTGGCTGTGTGTTCTGGGGGTGTTGGAAGAAAAAGCTGTGCAGCAGGGAGGGGGGCGGGGTTGGCTGACTGAGGTCAGGCTCCCTGTGACTGCGGCCTGGAGAACAGACTCTGAGCGTGGGGAGGCAGCAGGGAAGAGGTGACTGCAATACCTCAGGTGAGCGGTGGTGGTTGTACCAATGTGGTGGCCACACAGGTGGCAGAACTGGTTGGATTCTGGACCAGCGTTTTCATTAGGGCCACCCAGAATATCAGATTTTAAGGAACGGAGAGAAAAAGGTAGGAGTCAGGGGTGATTCCAAAGTTTTGGGGGTTAGCAGCTGGAAAGATGGAAACTCCATTAACCAGAAGAGTACGAGTAATTGTTCATTGAGATAGTAACTCTGTTTTTGGCTATCTTAAGAGTCTGAGATGCACCCTGGCTGGCTTGCACAGTGGTTGGAGCATCGTCCTGTACACCGAAAGATTGTGGGTTCGATTCCTGGTGAGGGCACATATTACCCAGATTGCAGGTTCAATCCCTGGCTGGGGCACCAGGTGGCTGTGGGGTGGGTCTGGGAGAGTGGATGTCGGACAGGTGGATAGGGCTTCCACGGAAAGTGTGGACAGAAGAGGAGTGCGAAAGCAGAGGAGTAATTGAGACAAGACGACCACGAAGCCCACATTATTGCTTATTCACACTTTGGACTCACCAGGATTTGTGTTGTGACCCTGGGTGTATCTCGGGTGTTTCAGTGACTCTGACAGATTAGCACCGAACACCAGTCACCATCTGGGACAGTCACTGGGCCTGGGGGTGCAGGATCTCTGGGGCTGGGCTTTGAATGATGACAAGGTGGAGAGAGAAAGGCTGTGACTGGAGAGGGGACCTCAGATGCAGCACCGGTGGAAGAGGCTGTGGGTCCCTGAGATCTGATGTCGTTCTCAGTGGCTGGGGATGAAGGGGCAGAATGAGGCAGTGAGGCCTTCAGAGCAGGTTTTGTCCCCTCTGGCAGTGGGCACCACTGAGAGTCTGGGTGCCATGTGCTGAGGGACATGCGGGGAGGCCTGCAGTGCGGGCCGGAGGGTGTAAGTGGTTGCCGGAGTGAGACTGAGAGAGGAGAGTGGGAGAAAGAGTGACGTGGAGAGTGGACTGCAGGACGTCAGGCCGTGACACTGATGAGGGCGTGTGTCCTAACGCCAGGCTGAGTTTGGATGGCTTCTCCCTGCCCTTGTGCCTGTAGCTGCTGTGGGCAGAGGTGGTGATCATGATACCAAGAGAAGACAGTGGGTGTCTGCAACACCAGGGCCTGGTGTCTGCTCCAAGGTGGGGACATTGGTAGGAGGGTGAGCAGGGGATGAGTGTGTGGGTGGATGAACTTGCGGTCCTAGGAGAGAGGTTGATCATGGAATGATCTGTCCCTGTGATGGCAGGGCTGTGTAACCTTTGAAGACATGGACATTGTCTTCTCGCAAGAGGAGTGGAGGCTCCTCGATGAGGCTCAGAGACGCCTGTACCTCGATGTGATGCTTGAGACTTTGTTACTTAAAGCCTCGCTGGGTAAGGCCCTCACACTCACCCCAGCATCCTGGTCCCTGTTTGTCCTCCTTTCCCCCAGAGGCAGCCCCTCCCTTTCGATAGCCAGACATGGGCTCTGCTAACTTTCCCACTTTCTTGGCACATGCACTGTGGCTGCCAGTGCTGAGGTGTATGCACTTCCCCAAGCAGCCCCGTCTTTTTGTCCCGAGCTTGCAGGGAAGAGTCTGGGATTCAGGAGTCATGAGGCCAGCCTAACGCATCTTACTTTGTTTGCCCTCTTACTGGAGAACGACTGTGTCCAGATCCATGGCACCTTGTGTTTCAAGTTCTAGCTGAGTCTATAATCATTTTTGTTTTTAATCCTCACCTGAGGATATGTTTAGAGAGGGGAAGGGAGAGAAACATCAATTGGTTGCCCCTCCTACACACCCTGACTGGGGATCAAATCCACAACCTAAGTATATGCCATGACCTGGAATCGAACCCGCAGCCTTTTTGGTGTATGGGACGATGCTCTGATTTAGTGAGCCACCTGGCCAGGGCGAGTCTGTATTTTTAATAACATTGATATTGTGTATAGGATCCACCAGAGGCACCCTTTAATTTTTCCAGATTTAAGAACAGGCGCAGTTGGGCTGTAGGATGGAGAAGCTGTGAGGATAACCCCTTTATTTACTAGATATTATATAGTAAGTGTTAATTCTTGAAGGCTCTGCTTTCATTTACATTAGGCCATAGTAACTATTTTAACTGGGTGAACTGTGGGGTACCATTTTATTAAACCAGTTTGTTTCAACAACTTATGTTAATTTAAATGTATTATTCATCATGTTAGATCATCTGTACCCAGTATGGGATATTGTCAGGTTATGGAGGCTATGGCTTTGGGAAATTTAGAAAAGGCTACAGTTTAAGTGAGGCATATCTATTTTTCTTTGGTTTCTATTTAGTTACTTTCCTAACAGTATAGGAATACAGTGAGTACTTTTACTCGCAGGTATAATTTGAGCCCCAGTAATGATTACATTTATGAAATTTGGCCATTGGTGCTTTTTAGTAAGTTATTTATTTATTTATTTATTTAATTTATTTTTCGAACCACATTATTGAGGAATGGTTGACATGTAAAAAGCTGTAACTATTCTATAGATACAACCAGATGGGTTTGGGTTAAGTATATACTCTTCAATCTGTCACCACCATCAAGGCCATAAACGTATCCATTAATCCATTACTTCCCATAGTTTCCTCCCATCCCTTCGTTATTATTATAATTTATTTATTTTGTGTACTTGGGCAGTAAAAATACTTAACATAAGATTTACCCTCCTAGCAAAAATCTCTTAGTTTTGATTTTTTCTGTTGTTTTTCTATTCTTTTATTTATTTTCACTTTGATCTTTTTTTTCCTTCCTTCTGCTAACATTGGGCTTGGTTTGTTCTTTTTTTCTACTTCCTTGAGGTGGGAAGGCAGGGTGTTTATTTAAGACCATTCTTTTTTTTTTTTTAAGTATTTTAAAAATATTTTTTTAATCTTCACCCAAAGGTATTTTTTATTATTGATTTTTGAGAGAGAGAAAAACATCAATGTGAGAAACATCATTTGGTTGTCTCCCATATGCACCCTTTTTTATTTCATCTTTCATTCATTGTTTGTTCAAGAGTGTGTTGTTTAGCTTTCACATAATTTTTGTGAGTTTTCTAATTCTCCTGTTATTAATTTTTACTTTTATCAAATTTTGGTCTGAAAAGCTACTTGGCATGGTGTGGGTATGTGTGTTAGGTCCCTTTGGTCTGTACTGTTGTTCAATTCTGCTGTCTTCCCAGCCATCGAGGCTTTATAAGATATCAAAACATCCTATTATACAGAAAGTTAAAAAAAACATGATTAATACTCTCCCACCAGAGTCAGCATGACCCATCAGCATTTCTCTTCTTTCAGTTTGTTGGCATACAATGGAGAATGAAGAGACACCTTCTGAGCAGGGTGTTTCTGTAGAAGTTTTGTCAAGGATGGGTCCATCCACCCAAAAGACTCATCCCTGTGAGAACTGTGTCCCAATCCTGAAAGAAATTTTGCACCTGGCTGATCTACCTGGGCACAAACCATATTTGGTTGGGGCATGTGCAAACCTACAGCAGCTTCAGAAGCACTTCAGTGCAGAAAAAAGACACATGGATAGAGCATCACTTGTAAAGAGCTGCACATTCCATGTGCCTGGGAATCCATTCATGTGTAGGAAGGTTGGAAAAGAGTTCTTGGCCACATTGGACCTTCTCCAGCACCAGGTCATTTCCAATAGTGAGAAGCCAAACAAAATCTCCAAGTGTGGGGAGTTACTTCATGGCAGAAAATGTCATTACAAGTTGTGTGAATGTGGGAAAGCTTCTGGCCACAAACACAGTCTTGTTTACCACCCAAGAGTCTCCACTAGAAAAAGGGATTCTGAATCTTGCAAATATGGAAAAGCCTTCCGTTGTAAATACTCGCTTGTTCAGCTTCAGAGAGTTCACAATGGAGAAAGGCCTTTTGAGTGTGGTGAATGCGGGAAATCTTTTCAGCAAAGAGCCACTTTCATCATACACCAGAGAGTTCACACTGGAGAAAGACCTTTTAAGTGTGGTGAGTGTAGGAAATACTTTAGTCAATGCTCCAACCTTATTGAACACTACAGAATTCACAGTGGAGAAAGGCCTTTTGAGTGTGACGAATGTGGGAAATCCTTTGAGTGCAAATCCATTCTGGTTCGGCACCAGAGGACCCACATTGGAGAAAGACCTTATGAGTGCAGTGAATGTCGGAAATTCTTTAGACAAAGCCCCACCCTCGTTCAGCATCAGAGAATTCACACCACAACAAGGTCCTATGTGTGTGTCCAGTGTGGGAAATCCTTTAACCAAAGAGCCACTCTTGTTCGACACCAGAGTGTTCACACTAGCAAAAGGCTTTATGAGTGCAGGGAATGTGAGGAAAACCTTTGGATCCAAATCCAGACTTGAAAGGCACAACAGAAGTCACACGGGAGAAAGGCCTTAAGAGTGTTCTGAATGTGGGAAATCTTTCAGACAGAACTACAGCCTTGTTGAACACCAGCGGGTTCACAGTAGAACAAGGCCTTCTGAGTGTGGCCAGTGTGGGAAGTCCTTTAGCAGAAGAGCCATCTTCACTAAACACCAGAGAATTCACACTGGAGAAAGGCCATATAAGTGTGGTGATTGTGGCAAATGCTTTAGTCAAAGCACCAGCCTCATTAAGCACTGCAGTATTCACACTGGTACAAGGCCTTAGAAGTGTGGTCAATGTGGGAAATCCTTTAGGCAAAAGTCTGTTCTCATTCAGCACCAGGTAGTTCACACTGGAGAAAGGCCCTACAAATGCAGCAAATGTGACAAAGCCTTTAGTCAATGCTTCAGCCTCAGTCTCCACCAAAAATTTCACACCATGGAGAGACCTCATAAAGATAAGAAATATGGAAAATCCTTCACTCTAACATCTAATGTTGTTTAGCACCAGGGAGTCCACACTTGAGAAAAGCCTTAGACCTGAAGGAAATGTGCTGTCTCCTTGTTCACGCTAATGACATGTGACAGCTTTTATGAGGGAGCCATCTCCCCGAACTTAAACCTCATATTCCCACTCTTCCAGAGGATTGAAATGCCCCATGAGCTCCCAGCATGCATGAGGCTTATGGGAGCTGCAGAGCACATTCTAAACTCTCAGGGCCCTTTGCCAGTTACATCGCTGCCAGTTTCGCTGATAGAAGCTGTCTCATCTTTACTGTCTTGCACAGTGTTACATCAGTCACACCATGTGGCAAAGGCAAGGGAGACGTCTGTGCTTGCTCCCATTCCACAGAGGAAATCTTGAGTAGTTTGCGCTCTTACATCAAGTTCCCTTTTATGATTAACTCTGAAACTGACACACTTTTGGCCACAAGTGGGTTCTGCTGGGGGTTAGAAGGGAAGGTTACCCTCTACATGGAAACTGTTGGTCCTTCATGACACTTGCTAATCTTTCCAGCCTCCAAGTCACCAACTGGTAACTGGCTGCCTCCCATTGCTCTGTTTTGTGCAATAATAAAGGTCTTATTGTTGAACCTACTTTTACTCTTGGGGGTTCTCTTCACTGCATGAGGTGGGTGGAAAACAGAATTGGGCTTGGTTTGTATGAAGGGATGGACTGCTTTTGAAAAAATTTTCTTTTAATTTTCAATTACAGTGTACATTCAATATTTTGTATTTCAGGTGCACAGCATAATGGTTATATAATCATATACTTCACAAAGTGTTGCATCTGGTATTTCCAGTACCAACATGGCATCATACGTGTTATTACAATATTATCAACTCTATTCTTTATGTACTTTACATCCCTGTGACCATTTTTTAGCCACCAAATTGTATTTCTCAGTCTCTTTACCTTTTTTGCCTGGCCCCCCAACCCGCCTCCCCTCTGCAACCATCAGTCTTTTCTCTGTACCTGAGTCCTTGTTTTTTTAAATTGCAGTGACATTTTATTTTTTAAATTCTGTTTTATTGATTATACTATTACAGTTGTCCCAATTTTTCCCCCCATACCCCCCTCCATCCAGTAATTCCCCCGACTCCCTCAGGCAGTCCCCACACCATTGATCATGTCCATGGAACATGCATAGTTTCTTTGGCTGCTCTATTCCCTACATTGTACTTTACATCCCCATGGCTACTCTGTAACTACCTATTTGTACTCCTTAATCCCCTTACCTCTTCAACCTTTCCCCATAATCCCCTCCCATCTGGCAACCATCAAAATGCTCTGTGTATCGATGATTCTCTGTCCTGGTCTGCTTAGTTTGTTTTTTAAATTCAATTGTTGATAGATATGTACCTGTTGCCATTTTATTGTTCATAGTTTAGATTTTCTTTTTCTCAAAAAAATCCATTTAACATTTCACATCATAATGGTTTGGTGATGATGAACTTTTTTAGTTTTTTCTTGTCTGGGAAGCTTTTTATCTGCCCTTTGATTCTAAATGATAGCTTTACTGGGTAGAACAATCTTGACCACAGGCCCCTGCTTTTCATGACTTTGAACATTTCTTGCCAATCCCTTCTAGCCTGCAAAGTTTCTTCTGAGAAATCAGCTGACAGTCTCATCAGAGCTCCCCTGTAGATAACTGCTTTTCTTTTGTTGTTTTTAAGATTCTCTCTTTATCTTTATTTACTTTTTTAAAGATTTTTGAAATTTATCTCTTTATCTTTAACCTTTAGCATTTTAATTATGATGTGTCTTGGAATGGGCCTCTTTGCATCCATCTTGTTTGGGATGCTCTGTGCTTCCTGGACTTGCATGTCTCTTTCCTTCACCAAATTAGGGAAGTTTTCATTATTTTTTCAAACAGATTTCCAATATCTTGCTCTTTCTCTTCTTCTGGTACCCCTATAATGTGAATTTGGATCACCTGAAGTTATCCTAGAGGCTGCTTACACTATCCTCATTTTTTTTTTTTAATGCTCTTTTCTTCTTATTGTTCTGATTGGTTGTTTTTTGCTTCCTTATGTTGCAAATCATTTATTTGATTCTTGGCTTCATCCACTCTACTGTGTTTCCCTGTAAATTATTCTTTATTTTAATTAAGACATCCTTTGTTTCTGACCAGACTGTTTTTATGCTCTTGAGGTCCTCACTGAGTTCCATAAACACCCTTATAACCAGTGTTTTGAGCTCTGCATCTGATAGATTGCTTATCTCCATTTTGCTTAGTTCTTTTTCTGGAGTTTTGATCTTTTCTTTCATTTGGGCCACATATCTTTGTCTCCTCCTTTTGGTAGCCTCCCTATGTTTGTTTCTATTAGGTAGAGCTGCTATGACTCTCTGTTTTGGTAGTGTGTCCTAATATAGTAGGGCCTCCCCTATCAGGGGTTGTGCGAGGTGGGTACTTGAGGTGCACCCTTCATGTGGGCTGAGTATACCCTCCTCTTGTAGTTGACGCTTGATTACTGTTAGCAGGTCAATGGCAGGGATTTACCCAGGCCAGTCAGCTGCAAGAATTGGCTGTGACCACTGACCACCAACATATGTGCTCTGTGCAGCATCAGCTGTGCAGGGAGAGGCTGGTAGTGCTCCAACATTGTCTGTAGCTGTCCACTGGGTGTACAGGCTCTGGGGATTCCTGGGTGGTGCAGGTCAAGGTCAGCTCCCACCTGTGTTTTTCCTGGGGCCACCCTGCCTAAGTTATAAAGCAATCTGAGATGGCTGCTACGTATGCTGAGCTTGGAGATTCCCAGGTGAAGCCACGCTGTGAATCTAGGCTGGTTGCTGCTACTACCAGGCCTGGGGCCCCTTAGCAAGATGCATGGAAGACTGGGGCTCACTGAGGCTGGCTGTTGTTTTTTAGAGAGTATTCAGGAAGTTGTGAAGCATGAGCCAAGACTAACCATTCATAGGGAAAGACAGCTTGGGTGGGCCCATAAGTTGGGTGGGATGCAGCCTCTGGGGATCTCCAGGGTGTGGCAAACAGTATTAGCCAGGTTGATGCAGTCTCAGAGATGGCACCTACCTGCTGGCTCCCTGGCTCTGTGGCGGGCAGGTTCAGAAAAGGGTCAATGGCTCACTTTTCTTTCTGGCAGAAGGCTGTCCCCCAGCTCTCACCTTGGTCAGACATTTCGTTTTCTCCCTGTATGCTACTGGTGCCTTTCAAGATGTTACCCTGTTGCTGGAGTTCTGAGGGAGTGAGTCTGATTACGTCTGTGTGTGGGGTCTTTAAGAGGAACTGCTTGGGACTCCAGAAGTTTCTTCCACTGACTCAATATCCACTGGAGATTGCAGCCGAAAGTTATGGGGGCTTATCTTCCTGACACTGGAACCCTGGATTGGCAGACCAGGTATAGGGCTGGGAAGTCTCGCTCCTGAGATATCCCTCCCGAATTTTTATCCACCACATGGTGGATGTGGGACCTGCCCATTCTGCATCTCCTCCCCTCCTACCAGTCTGGACGGATGTTGTTTCTTTAATTGCATAGCTGTCAGACTTCCACTGTGCTCAATTTCTGACCTGAATGGTTATTGTATATTTTAGTTGTAATTTTGATGTGGTTGTTCAAGGAGGCAAGCCATGTTTACCTATGCTGCCATCCTGAACAGGTTGTCCATCTGTTTTGTTTATATTTTTCTTTAGATTGAACATATAAATAAAATCATTTGGTAGTTTTCTTTCTCTGATTGACTTAATTCACACAGCACAATATCTTGTAGGTCCATCCATTCTTTCACAAACAACAAAATTTGGGTTGTTTGTTTGTTTAGAAAAATTTTTTTATCCTCACCTGAGGACAGTTTTTCATTGCTTTTACAGAGAGAGGGAGGAAGGGAGGGAGAGAAACATTGACTGGTTGCCTTCTGTACCTGCCTTGACCGCGGATGAACTTGCAAGCTTTTGGCGCATGGGATAATGCTAAACTGAGCCACATTGGCAAGAGTGTGTTGTTGTTGTTGTTGTTTTAATTTTTTAAAAGATTTTATTTATTTATACTTAGAGAGGGGAAGGGAGGGAGAAAGACAGGCAGAGAAACATCATTGTGTGAGAGATACATCAATCAGTCGCTTCTTCTATGCCCTCAACCAGGGACCTGGCCCACAACCCAGGCATGTGCCCTGACTGGGGATCAAACTGGCAACCTTTGGGTTTGCAGGCTGGCATTCAATCCACTGAGCCAACCCAGCCAGGGCTTTTTCTTTTTAATTATGAATGGACTGCTTTTGTGGGCCTTCAACTTGGTTGCTGCTCATCAGCAGGAACAGTATAATGAGAGGGAGTGCTTCTCATTCCAGCTTTGGCCTAATCTACATTGCTGCCCAAGACGTCCTAGGAACCAGTACAATGCTATGTGGTTCTAATTTGTGGCCTCCATATATTTTGAGACCACAGGTCACCCTGAAGAGGGGTTCCTTGTTTTGGTACACTCCAGTGCCTTTTGGAAGTTCCCAGAGGGTGTCACGTAACGTTCAGCACTGTTGAGGGAAAGCTTTTCACCAGGTTCTACAAAGAAGCCGAGTGTCCTGATGTTCATAATTCTGTAGACTGGTATCACTCCTCAGATCACGGGAGCCAGATTTGAACCACGGGTACTGAAATCCTGAGTGTATTAAAAGGCAGTAGAGGAGCCTGCTGCAAACGTGATGGAATGTGCCTTTTCCAAAAGTTCATCCAGAAATCTTGTGACTGAGGACCCACAGAACCTCCAGAGCTGTGTATCTCCTGTAGCTGAGGTCACTGTCAGAGCAAATAATCTAAAAGGTCTTGTGAATTCTCATTGTCATTCTGTGCTGTGCACCTCGAGTGCATTTCTCTAAAGATAGGGAAGTGACGACAAAGGATGGACATCCTGTTGTCCAGGGTTGTGGCTTTTGTGGTCAGTCAGCATTCTTGTTGTCCCAGATCCATTACTCACCAATATTTCCTACACTGACTCAGGGCTGCTGTTCCTCAGGTTTAAGGAGAATGGAGTAGAATCACTATTGGGTTGTTAAACCTGTTTTCTAAAATGAGTGGGAGATCCATATTTTTTATTTTGAACATTTTTATAGAAACTCTACTAAAGCATAATTGACATGCAATAACCTTAAGAATTTTCTGAGATCGAAGCTTATAAAACCATCATAATCACATCGAACAGATCCATGACTTACCATGTGCCCTTTTATAACCTTGCCTTGTCCTTCCTGGGCCTACAGGAATCCAGTGATTTACTTTTTACTTTTTTTGGTAGATTTTATTTACATTTTATTTTTAGAGAGACGGGAAGGAAGGGGAAAAGGGAAGGAGAAAAACATCCCTGTGCAAAAGAAACATTGATTGGTTGTCTGTCGTATGACCCTAACTGGGGACCTGCCTACTACCCAGACATGTGCTCTTACCAGGAATTGAATCGGTGACCTTTTGATTCACAGGCCAGCACTCAATCCACTGAACCACATCAGCCAAGGCAAATTATTATTATTTTTTTTACAAATAATTAGTTTGCATTATCTAGAATTTTACATGAATTGAATCATAAAGTGCTTACTGTTCTGATATTTTTCACACTGCATAATGATTGAGATTCATCAATGTTGCTTATGTGAATAGTCATTCTTTTTATTCTTTAGTATTTTTCCCTATGGATATGCAACTATTTGTTCATCCATTCTTTTGTTAAAATGGGCAGTTGGGTTATTTCCAGTTTAGTCCTATAAGAAACAAAGCTGGACATAGGCATATAATTCTTTATATGAATATGTTTTCTCTTGTACCAATACTTCAAAGGATGTAAATTTTTTCATATTTAAGAAACTGCTAAACTGGTCTAAATTGGTTGTACCCATCTATGTTCCTACATATCCATGTAGTAATATTAGTCATAATTAATAATAGTAATGTCATACATTTTCCTGTAGACTGTATTCCTGACTCAGGAAAAACTGGATATTCCTTCTCCTTTGAAATTGCTATTTTCACTATATTCCACATGCCACCCTTTCCCACATTCTCAATTCATTTATTCATCCTCCTCTTCATTCATTAGATTCTTAAAGGCATTCCCTTGCACTCTATCTCCCTGACCTCTGTGTTCCCAAAATATCATAATATTTGGCCTTGTCTATCCTACATCTGACTGCAGAGGCAGCTGAAACCATCAAATGAATGGAGTGGCTTCACCACCACAATGTGGCCTCTCCTCTCTAGTTATCCGTCTGGCTGCTCCGCCAGCTGGTGTCTGTGTTCAGCCTCAACTCAGATCCTGAGTCTATTCCAAATGTTCCCTTATCTCCTCAGTCCAATGGCAATCCTTGAATGTCTCAAACGCACCTGCAGCTCATCATGAGTAACAGAATTTCACCATCTTGCCTCTTCCTCCAACATCCCCAATTTTAATGAAAAGTCTTACCATCCAAATAAGTTTGAAACCCAGGTTCAGCCTTTGGCCATTATGCTCCACGCAGTACCAGAAATTGTGTCTATGTGACATGTGTCCACCCTGATGTCTGAGAGCCTGTCATGGGTCCTAGGGTTATCAGTATTTTCTATCCAATTCTGATTTGCCGTACATCTTTTGTCTGTTGTCTCTGCGTGCAATGATGATCATTGGGTCGTTGATTATTTTATGAGCTGTTGAAACATTTGGATCCTACTTCTATTGCTATTTCTGCATTTATTAGCAAAAAATCCTATATAAAGAATTTTCCACAATGTTCTATATGGTTACCTCAAAATACAGTCTGTAAAGAAAAAGAGAGGGAAGAACTTGATAGCTTCACTCTAGTTAGCAATTTTCAGAATAATTATTTGGATCGCTGACATTGTCCTCAAAAAACAACAAAATGTTTATCTTGGGGCTAAAGCTGTCCACTTTGCCTAAAAGGCTTTGATCACAGCGGCCATGGTCATAGTAGGAAAAAACCATTTGGTAAGTGGCTCTTCAGCTAAGTTTTAAGATTTTAAAATGAATTGTATCTATCTTAGTCCATTCAGGCTGCTATAAGCAAATATCCTAGACTGCACAGTTTATAAGCCACAGAAATTTACTTCTCACCGTTCTGGAGGCTGGATGTCCAGGATCTAGTAGTCAGGAGATTTGGGGTCTGGTGAGAGCCCTCTTCCAGGTTGATTGACACCCTGACATCCTCCTTCTTCCGTGTCCTCACCTAGAGGAGGGGGTAAGGTAACTTTTGGGGGCCTCTTATAAGGACACCGCACGCAGGGGACCAGTGGGACTGATGCCCAAGGACTGGGCTCAACCAAGCAGGAGAGCCCAGAGAGAGGACCCCTAGAAGGGCCGTTATTAGGAGTTGGAGGAACACACAAGCCAATAGCATGAGGGTGCTTTGTCCTGTCACTAGGTCAAAGGGATGATCAAAAGGGGAACTTGTGTCAGGGGCCCACCTGATCACACCGGTACAGCTGGTCGTCTGGGTGGGTGCGCACAGCCTCTTCCGCGGGGATGTTGAGGCAGCAGGAACGCACGGTTTTCGTAATTCACAATAGTGTGCCCGTTGTCGCCTTAGGAGCATCTACCAAGAGGCAGAAAACACAACCGGGATGTCTGGGTGCATCCCCTTTGAGAACATCCCAAGGCCCTCTTCCCTGGAGCCTCTGCAAGCCCCTTCCCAGCTTCCCTCCCTGGGCCTCCGGGGAAGTAGCTCCTAGAAGGGGCGGAGTATTCCCTCGCTTGGTCGGATGCAGGACAAAAAACTACATTACCCAGAAGACTGTGCTCCGCGGGTCGGGAGGAGGGCGTGCTGGACCGCCGACGATAACGGAAGGGGCGTGCTCGCCCTTTTGGCAGGGGCGGGACTTCCGGTATGTCCGGGTGGGTGTCCGAAAGCAGCGTGGTGGGTCTGTGGGCGCCGAGCCGCGCTGGGACAGTGGGACGGCCTCGCCCGTGCCTCCGTGGGGCCTGGGGGACGGTCGGCTGAGCCTGCGGGGCCCGGGAGCCCTCGCGCGGCCCGATGGCGCCGGCGCAGGTGAGTGGACGGGCCCCCAGACCCCTCGCCCTCTTGCCACAGACCCCTCGCCCTCTTGCCACAGCGGCGTCCGGTGACTCCGTGCTTTCTCCCGACCATGTTGCTTTCTCTCGACCCGGATTTCTCCGGGTCGCCGTCCAGGGGCTACAGGAGGTCTAGTCCCGTTTCTGCCCCCGCGGGCATGTCGAGTGGAAGGGACGTGTGGAGTCTGGACCTCTCCGGACCCCGTGCTGCGTGCGTCCGGCCGCGGAGACCTCCTCGTGGGTCTGGCTGCGCCCCTACCCGAGGCTGTGAACTTGGGCACCCCCCTTGCCTCCCTGAGCTGGTTTTCTCGGGTATAAAATAGTAGGGATACTGACGGTGTCTCGTCCCGATTGAGGAAACTAGAGAGGACACGTGCGGGGTGTGGTACCCGCGCTCCCTTGGAGATGCCTCCCGAGCCGGCAGCCCCTGCCAACTAGGCTGCACGAGGAAGAGGCAGGCGTAGCGTCTTGGAACTACTCCGCGAGGGCAGGAAAGGTGACAGGCAACTGGGAGCCAGAAGGGCAAGGAGTTTTCCTTTTGGCTTACAGCGCGACCTGACCTCCCACTGACGCAGTGAACCCGTTTTCCTATTCAGGACATTCAGTTGGGTTTGAAAAGTGAGCCCGTTGAAATGCTCGGTACCGTTAGTGTGCGGGAGCGGGATGTTCCTTTGGACACAAAGGCGCAGGAGGCCGCAGGAACAGGCGGACACCCCGAGTGTCCCCACGAGAGCCTTCTCACCGCCGGGACCTGGCTTGTTAGTTGATTTCCCCGTCCACAGGCTCCCTCCTTCCCTTTTTGTCAGTCTCCAGAGACTGCCTTCCGCGAAGAGGTCTTCCCTGGTTGCCCCACCTAAAGTGGCCTGTCATCCTTTCAGTCTCCTCTATCTTCTCGTCTTTGGTATTTTTAGGGGCCCCTGAAGTTGTCTTACTCATTTCTTTAGCTGCTCCGATAGGTTCCGTTTCCAGGCTGGGACCGTGAGCGCCTGTCGCGGCTCCGAGCCAAAACTAGAAAGGCCTGGGCTTGCAGAAGGTACTAGTGAAACAGTTGAATGAATGGGGCTACCCCTCAGGGGCTCCCACAGTCTTACCATCAACTCAGACTGCCCCCTGCGGCCTGCGGGGCTCTCCTGGGTATGCCCCCGGGACTGCCTCTGCTCTTCGTCCCATGCTTAGGGCACCCACCCAGGAGGTCTTGAACTTGCCAAAGCCCTGCCCACCTGGCAGCCTTTGCCCTTGCGCTCCTCTGCCTCTGGGGCCCAGTCCCCAGGTGTTTACACCCTTCCTGTGCACCCGTGGCACCTCTTAGGATAGTCTTCCTGTTGTAGTTCTAGCTAAGGTGCCCCTGGCCCCGGCTCTTTGCCATTTTTTGTCGGGTGTTTAAATCCCGCCTTTGCTGCTTAATTGTGAGATTGTGGGAGACTTTCTAGAGCTGCCCTCGCCCCAGGCCACTGACTGTGTCGTGAATGTGATCTTGGCATGTACCTCATGGGCTGTCGGAGGGTTAGTAGAAGTCACAAAACACACTGAACGCTAGCCCATGCAGGTCCTCCAGGGTCTGTCCTGGTTGCCGGGCGTACGCTTCCTCGAGTTCTCAGAGCTGCCTGGTGAGGTGGGGACGATTATTGCACTGATGGGGAACCTGAGGCTTAGAGAAGTGATGTGATGTCTTTCCACGTTCAGAGTGGGGAGTCTGATTCAATCCCGGGAGGCAGGCTCCAGCGCCTGGGACAATCTCTAATGGGGCATGTGACGTTCTCAGCCCAGGGCATGTGGGTGGTGAGGCCCCGGGAGGCCCGGCCGCTGCTGTGGAAATTATCATCACCATCATTTCCAGCAGAACGCTCACCATCTGCGCCACAGTCCTCATTGGAATGGCATCGTCTGCAGTGGGTTCCCCGGGGCCGGCTTTTCTCTCAGCCACAGCCGCAGTATGTCCAAAGGCCTCCCCTTTCCCCCCTCTGTACCCAGCACAGAGCTCAGCCCTCAGCCCTCAGAAGACCTCGGTGATCCGGGCGTGGGTCTCTCTGCACCTTTGCCAGTGACTGAGTGACAGGCTCTGATCTCACCCAACAACAGGCGCACGAAGCTACTGTGTTTGACTTTCCAGGCACCAGTGACCTTCAAGGATGTGTCTGTGACCTTCACCCGGGAGGAGTGGGAATTGCTGGACCCAGCCCAGAGGACCCTGTACCAGGACGTGATGCTGGATATCTGCAGGCTCCTGGTCTCGCTGGGTGAGCGCCCACCTCGCATTCCTGTGTGGTTTGATTTCTGACTGGTCAAGAAGGTCACAGAAGCCACCTTCTCCTTTCCCCACAGCCCCTGCAGTTTCCTGGTCCCTCCTCTTCCTGCCTGGTCTGCCTCGGGGATCGCTGGGGGAGAAACAATGTCCTTCTGGACCCTCACTCTCACCCCAGTGCCCAGCACGCTCAGGCCTGTCTGAGGTCTGTATCCCAGAATCCACAGGAGGGGCGCTGACTGGCCCAACCTGGTGGGGTCAGGTGTCCCCAGTTAGCCAGGCCCTGCGTGACGGGCTGTTCTCAGAAGACAGGGTGAGTCAGGAAGACTCCCACATGGCACTTGTCATCAGTGCCACCCAGGGGTCCTCTAAATAACATAACGTCAGTCTGCAGGCCCCTGGCACCTACAGGGTCATGATGTCCCCTGAGACGCAGCCACGCAGGAGATGATGTAGAAGGTGTGTGGGAGTGTCACGGGTGGACACCCCGAGAAAGCCAGTCCTTTCGCCTCCTCTGTCCGGCATGCTGGTCGCTGTCAAGGGAAAGTCTCATCAGTGCTGATTCTTTCATGTCCCAAAACCGTGACTAGTTACTCTTTTCAACGGAGCGAGCAGCCTCCAGCTCACAGCTCTGAGCATCTACACAGGCTTGCTGGGACTCGATGGCAGTATTTTGATTTCATTGCTGTTTTGATGGTAACCTTCCACTGTGGGACGTGAAATCGACTTTCTCATTCGCCGTAGAAAACCAGGGTTCCTTTTAGAATAAAATACTTAAGGACGATAAAAAGTGGGTGAGTTTAGGAAGAAACCATCAGTAATGATGGCATACTGTGGGTGCTCGGAAGGGGGACATCAGTTTCAGATGAACCGCGATGAGTTGTAGAAGAAAAAAAATAGGATTTAGGAGTATGTAACCAGGGGGTCATAGCTTGTCCTGGGCACTTGAAGAAAGGCATCTGAGGAGGTGACTCGGAGGCTGAGCTCGCTGGGAGGGCGGCGCAGGAGACGGCTCCAGGTGGAGGAACCAACGTGAGAAAAGGCCGAGACGGGAGTGAGCTCCGCTGGCAGAGCCGGGGGACGTCTGTGCCACCTGCTGTACTGCCTCTCCCTGAGGTTGGTGCCAGGCACACAGCACGTGTCAGTGACTGTGGCTGAGCCCCTGTGTGAATGGACTTCTTCACGGAACCCTCCGGCCTCTACAGAGATGTACTAGGCGGCACACACAGGATGATGTGAAGGTCCGAGCTGCTCCGCCCCCGGGACCGGCCCCTGCCGCGCCCGGGCAGGGATGTCGGAGGCCGCGGCAATGACTGAGGCAGCGAGCCCCTTGCTCAGCCCCCTCCTCCCACACAGGATTCCCAGCTTACTCTTCAGAACGGGGATCCAGCCCAGGTGCCCTGCCTACCCCAGATGACTATCAGGGACTGACTTCCACAAGCAGTTTCCTGTCCTCTCTGGGCACCGGAGCCCTGCGGGGGTGGGGAGGGGCGCTGCACAGACGCTGATGCCTCGGCCTCACCCCAAGAGATGGGGTTTCTTTCGGCTGAGGCTGGAATCAGGCCTCCGGTGGTTCTGAAGAACCAGGGGCTTAGGTGAGTTAGATGGGCTCACCTTCCCGGTGCCCTGTGGCTGTGTGGGGAAGCGGTATGCACCTGAACCACGCTGGCTTCAGCTGGTGAGGGTCAAGGGCAGTGCTGTTGCGTGGACAGACGGCAGCGCCCTCCACAGCAGTTGCAGCCCAAGAGCGGGGTTTGTCCCCTTGGCGTCTGGGTCACACGTCGGCCTTTTCTTCACTTTGGGAATAGCTTCTTTCATTCTTATCCCATCATGAAGTCCCAGATACAATGGAGCGGCTTCCTCTTTCGTTGCAAAACACCCATATCGGGTTTCTTTCTCCCCCCACAGGGCATCCGGTTCCCAGGCCGGAGCTGGCCCACCTGCTGGAGCACAGGCAAGAGCTGGGGACTCTGAAGGGAGGCCTCCCACAGAGCACCTGTCCAGGTAGGAGCCAACAGGCGGCGTCACGGCAGCCTTCCGAATGCCACTGCCTCTAAACTGCGTGAAACTCTCCGTGACCCCCTGGGGTTTCTGGTTGTTTTCCTCACATCAGGGTACGGTGTCCATCAACAGGACAGCTATGAGCCACACCGTTACGGAGACCCAGGCACCTTCAAACGTCACTGTGTAGTTCTCCGGCTGCTCCAGCGCACCGCAGCTGGCGGAGGGGAAACGGGGGCGAGGGGTGGTCAGTCACTCCTGGCATGCACGCGTGCTGCGCCCCCACACGCCCCACTGACAAGATCTGGGCATCTGGCCACACTGGGCGCTCAGGACTAGGGACTGCAGGTAGCGACGTGCTCTGGGAGCAGAGCCAGCGGCTGGGTCTGTAGCCGCCTGGGTCTGTAGCCGCCTGGCCCACTCTCGGAAGACTAGTGGTGCTGGTGCCTGTGTGATCGGGTGCCTGGAGGTTGTAGTGAGATGTTAGTTCAGTGCCTGGCCTCTATAAGGGGGACAAAAGTCAGCTCTTCGTGGAGCCATGTAATTACATTAATCGTGAGTGATAGGGATTCTGCACATTTCTTTCTGGACCCAGAGGAAAATGGGCTTTTCTTCCCCCTGAAAGTATAATCTGGGTCCAGGAAGAAATGTGCGGAACCCCTATCATTCGTGATTAATGTGATTACATGGCTGCACGAAGAGCTGGCGCCATATGTATTTGGTAACCCACTCTTTCCCGCCTTCTCCATCTGTTCATCCATCGTCCTTTCGGTCCCGCAGACACGCAGAAGCAGCCCCTTCTATCTTCCTGTCCCTTTGCCCCAAGAAACAGCAAGGTGACCTTTGGTCCACCTCTGTGCTGTGAGTGCAGCTGGAGTCAGCCACCGCGAGCCACAGTGTGTCCTCTTCTGGCGGCCCTCAGGCTGCTCGGCCAGCCTGCGCCCGTGGCCAGCCCCATGCCCAGCCCTCCGTTCCAGGCGCCACCTCCCCTTAAGTGTCTCAGAGGCTCATCCTGCCTTAGAAGACACTCGTGGGCATGCCCGCTCCTCCCCACCCCCAGTTCAGAGAAGGTCCTGCCGTCCAAGCAGGTGAGACCGGAGGCCCTTCATCGTGTCCGACTCCATCAAACCCAGCGGCCACCCACCCCGACTCCTGCCCATTGGACATTATCTCTGTCTCCTGAACTCGTCACCTCTGCCACCTTCACCCATCACTTGTCGCCTGGATGATGCCAGACCCCCAGCAGGTCTCCATCTGCTCTTCCCCCTGCACCAACCCCGGCAGCCACCTAGACACGCTCCAAATCTGCGGTCTTAGCACATTATTGTCATGTTAAAAATAAAGGGAAAGTGCTTCTGCTTCCTGTTACTCAACCCTCAAAGGCTCCTCCGTGTGTGCCTCACACCTACGCCTTCCCTTCTCGTTCTCTGTGGACAGCGTCTTACCTGCAGTCATGGCCGGTGAGCCCACGCCGCACCTTTGCCGTCTTGAGAACTTGGTTTTTCACTTGTTTTCTGCCTTGTTTGATTTCATCCTCTCCGCTCAACGTATAACGTGCTCAGGGTGTCTTCACTTGGGGAAAGAGAAAACAAACACAAATGCTTTTAGATCTATGAAAGCCTCCACCAATGTGGACTCTACTTATAAAGCCAAGTTGCAGGAAGGAGTTGTATCATTTCTGGGAAAGATGTGTACGCTTGATGGCACACCTATTATTTAAACTCTTCTTACTTCATTGTTTTTATATGGGACGTGTACATTGATGTGCACAAATCTGAAGGGTTCAGCTTAAGTTTTTACCTATGTATAAACCGAAACGTCCTCTGCCGCAGTCAGCATTTAGAATACTTGCAGGACTGTGGCAGGTTCCTGGTGCTCCAGCCTTGTCAGTAGCTCCACCTACAGTGGTCTCCATTGTCTCTGTGGATTGGTTTTATTCTTTTTTTTCCGGTGTGTGCACTTGCTCGTGTGCCTGCGCCTTGAACAACAGAAATTTATTTTCTCACAGTTCTGGAGGCTGGAAGTCTGAGATCAAGGTGTTGGCAGGGTTGCTTTCTACTGAGGCCCCAGCCCTTGGCTTACAGGACGAGATGATGGTTCTTGCTGTCACCCTCATGGCCCAGAGCAACAGTGCAACGAACGTACAGGGTGGGGCAAAAGGTTCACCGTTGTGAGTACACAAAACACAGTTTATTCTTGTATTATTAATTATTGCATTTTCCACATGAACAACTATAAACCTACTTTTGCCCCACCCTGGATTAGTCAGGGCTCTCCAGTGAATCAGAACCAACAGGATGTGTGTATTTCATTTATTTTTAAAGAGCTGGCTCTTGCACTTGTGAGGGCGAAACAGTTTCAGAGACTTGGAAGGCAGGAAGAGTGGGTGGTGCAGACTAGAGTCTGAAGGCAAATTCCTTTCCTCCCTGGTGGGGCTCAGTGATAAGGCCATCAACTGGCCTTATAAGGCCAGAGATCTGGAAGGGCTTTTGGGAGTGAGGCTACCCAATTATAAAGGGTAGCCTGCTTTTCTCAAAAGTCTGCTGACTTAAATGTTAACCACGTTCAAAAACTACACAGCAATATCTAGACTGGTGTCTGACCAAACAACTCAGCATGATACCCTCGTCAAGGTGAATGTAAAATTAACCCTCACAAAGAACAAGAATGATAACCCCCAGTTTGGTGAACACTTTTCTCCTTTAACCTTCATGGAAGCCTGCGAAACTGAGTCTCCTTGTCAGTCTCTCAGATGAGGAGAGTATGACTTACAGATGAAAGACATCCATCCAAGATCAGCTCACTGGACAGAGGCGGGAGTTTGTGGGGGGAACCTAGGCATTCTGGCCCCAGAGCCTCACTCTTACCTACCCAGCACACTGATGCCTCAGAGAGCAGAAACCTGTTTCATACTACTCGGCTTGCGTGTCCCTCTGTCCCCTCCTGAAACCACCCCTTGATGTCAGCTTCACCAGGTGCCTGGTGCCCTTTTCCTCTTTCAAGGGTGAATCTCCCCATTTCAACCCAGTGTCCCTCCCTCTTCCTGGCAGTTCTCACTTCTGCATCAGGACCTAGCTTAGGGACAACACCTCTGGGAAGGTGACCTCTTTTTCTTCCCAATCTTGGTAGGTTTCACTTGGTGCAAATATAGCACCAAGAGATGTCAGCCTCAATTCTTGGGGCACGTTCCTCCCCCACCCCAGACAGTATTATCAAAACTGCCTTCCCCTACTCTGGACTGTGAGGAGGGGTCTCCACACCAGGCCCCGTGTCCCCTGGTCCAGTCCACTGTCCAGATTTTAACTTTAATGGTGTCAAGAGTACAAGGACCATAAAAGGTCATTGGAAACCTTGGTTATAGGGACATGAAAACACAGCAAACACCAGAGGTGACATTATTGTCCTTACTTGCCCCCCAAAGTGTTGCCTAAATTTCTTCCATGTTGCATCACTAAAAGTCCCCCTTTGTGTCCCGGATTTTCTTCAGGTGACAGAGCAAAACATCAGACCAGAGAGCCAAGCACCACTCAGCCAGTTTTGTGTGAGGGAGCCTTGCTCCAGGGAAGCAGGACTCCAGAATCGTCAAGGGACTCCAGACTGAAGCAAGCCAGGGAACGGGAAGGGCTTTTGGAAGTGAAGCCAAGGACAGACCCCCACAAGGAGGCCCATCCTGCGAAAAGGAGCCCTGAAGATAATGGTCTGGGGACAGATGACGGTCTGCACTCTAGGGGGTTACAGGACAGAGTCTCCCGGGGAGATGTTCTCCGTGAACATGACCTACAGGGACCAGGGAAGGGCCCCAGGATCCAGGTGGGAAGAAACCTCTACAAATGCAAGCAGTGCGGGAAAGGTTTCAGCAGAAAGTGGTACCTTGCTCGCCACCAGCGGGTTCACACGGGGATGAAGCCCTATGAGTGCAATGCGTGTGGGAAAACCTTCAGCCAGAGCTCCACCCTCATCCGGCACTACCTCATCCACACTGGGGAGAAGCCCTACACGTGCCCCGAGTGTGGGAAGGCCTTCAAGCGCAGGTCCTACCTGGTGCAACACCACCCCATCCACACTGGGGAGAAGCCCTATGAGTGTGCCCAGTGTGGGAAGGCCTTCAGCCACCGCTCCACCTTCATTCGGCACAAAAGGACCCACAGCAGGGAAAGGCCCTTTGCATGCAAGGATTGCGAGAAAGCATTCAGCAACAGAGAGCACCTTATCCAGCACTACGCTGTGCACACGGGGGCCAAGCGGTTCGAGTGTGCCGTGTGTGGGAAGGCCTTCCGCTGCCGCTCGGAGCTCCTGCAGCACCGGCGTGTGCACACAGGGGAGCGGCCGTACGTCTGTGCACAGTGCGGGAAGGCCTTTCACCGCAGCACGTACCTGCTGCAGCACTCCATCATCCACACGGGGGAGAAGCCATACAAATGTGGCCTATGTGGGAAGGCCTTCAAGCGCAGGTCCCACCTCCTGCAACACCAGCGGGTCCACACCTGAGCTAAGGCCCTCCCACACAGGGGCTGAAGAAGGGCCTCATCCACTGTTCCTTCCTGGTCTGTGAAGGGGATCCACATGTGAGGAAAATCTCCTTCAGTGCAAAGAATGTTTGGAGAGGGAGTTTTGTCAGCTCTGAAAGGCACAAGAAGTCGCCTTGGCAAGAAGCCCTGTGAATGCAGCGACTGTACCTTGAGCTGCAGGTCAGCCTTCCCTCTTCATGGTGGGAGAGAAAGGAGAGAAGGTGGGTCACCAGTGGCTCTGCCTCCGTCAGCATCAGAAAACTTACAGGGCAGAGAGGCTGGATATAACTACTAAGGCCAGTCTTAAGCCAAAAGGAAAAATCTTACTTGCTATCTGAGAATTCGTAGCAAAGAAGAGCCACATAACTGTCATAGCTATGAGCAAACCTTCTGGGACAGGTCACTGATACACTGATCAGATCACTGGGGAGGAAGAGGGAGAGGTCACAGGAGGAGGTTGCCCAAGGCAATGGTGAGCAGAGGAGGATGGGATGGGCCGAGAAGCTGAAGAGTCAAAAGGAGGGCGGAGACTGGCTCTCTGGCTCTCTTCTTTGAAGATGCCTGGATGATCGTGCTGCAGCTGCCTGCAGACAGTATCTTGGACAGTAGAAGGAACTCGGCACAGCCTAGGATCGCGCTGGCCTGGCAGCGGGTGGCAGGGTTATTCTTTGGGGGTTCTAGAAGGGGCGGGCTCTGAGGCAGAAGCCTACCATTCTTCCAAAATAGTGTTGTTTTGTATCTTATGTTTAGTTTGTAAACTAACCCTATGAAATAAGATCATTAAAAACTAACAGGAGGAATGATAGGGGAACTCGGGAGTTAAAAATTTTAGCCTTAATTGATTAATGCATGTGGAAAGCTGTTATTCCCAAACTGTGTAGCTTTGGAATAAAGACTCCTTTCCTTTATTGCCAGACCTTTGCTTCCCGAATTTTGCCTAGACAGTGGCAGCAGGAAGCAGGCCCCCACTTGCTGTCCAATAACGGCAGTGGTGACTCTGGTGGGACCCTAGCTGCCTGTGGCTCATCAACCCCAAGAGTGGGACTGTGGGGTTTCCCAGTCACCAGGAGTTCCTCCGCATGCCCACCCAAGGTGCCAGCTGCCTAAACACGCCTCGCAGGTGGAAAGGAAAAGGGTCTGGGAAGGGGCTGTGAAACGAGGTCCAGGTGAAGACTGCTTTGGGGGGCACCATGGTTTTTGAGATTGGTTGGCAAATACTTGCTTGTGAGTACTCTTTGGAATAATGCAGCCATGGATGCCAGTTTTGTTTATACATTCTGAGATTTTTTTCGGATTTTTCTGGTTATAGCTTTTGGCCTGTATGTTTGGGCCCGCGAGGACAGTTCTGTACTGGCTCCTAGAGGGAGCCTACTGGGTAGGATTTTGGCAGACTGGAGCATGTGCTTCATTATCCAATGTCCAAGGAGAAACTGATTTATTATTGTAATACTGTGTGAGAGAAACATCGATTGCCTTTTGCATGCCCACAACCAGAGACCTGGCCTGCAACCCGGGCATGTTCCCCAACTGTGAATCAAACCTGCGACCTTTCAGTTTGCAGGATGGCAGATGCCCAACCCACTGAGCCACACCAGTCAGGCTATGATTTCCATTCTTTAAAAAAATAATAATTTTTTTTTTTTTAATTTTAGAAAGACAGGAAGGGAGAGAGCAAGGGGGAGAAACAGCAATTTGTTATTTCACTTACTGATGCATTCATTGGTCAATTCTTATATGTGCCTTGATAGATTGAACCCACAACCTTGGTGCATCGGGACAACACTCTAACTAACTGAGCTACATGGCCAGGGCTCATTTCTTGAGAGCACACAGGGTACTGCACCTGAAGTGCGGTAGATGAATTAGTAAAATGAGGACGAGTAACAGAGTGGTACAAATGGATAAAAAAGTTAAGGTGACATTTACTTAGTGCCCTGGCACTTTTCTAGCTATGTAAGATGCGCATGCATAAAATATTACAATGATTTTGCCCTCACGGAACTTAAGATTCTAGTTGAGGGAAAGTCAATCAGCAATGTTCCTAAGTTATTAAGTTACATACTGTTAGAAGGTGATGGGCTTTATAAAAAAGAAAAGACCAGGATGGGTCAAGAAAAACATGGGGGGTCAGGCATATGACACAGTCTGCTCATAGTTGGGCTGATAAGGATAATACTATGCTAGCACATATTTTTAAAGGTCGGAAGAGTTTATTTTTTCCTTTCTAATGCATATGTGTATATATTTTTTCTTGCCATTCAACATTAAGTAGTCCCTGTGGAGTAATGAAGGATAAGAAGAGATAACCGACTTTTTTTCTTGTCCTTGATCTTAGGAGAAATATTTAATAACATTATGTCAAATACATTGTAGAATTTTTTTGGTAGATTCTTTTTAAGATTTTAAAGACAATCCATTCTATACTTAAAAAAAAAAAAAAAAGCCAAGCATCAAGTTATATCTGTCTTACGCATCTTCTGAGTTGTAACATGACAGATATTTTCTATGAATTGGGGAAACATTGATTTCTGCATTTAAAATTTTTCAGATAGTTTCCAACTTACAAGAAAGTTGATAGTACAAGATACTCTTGCATAAATTGTATCCAGATTAAACACATTTGTTTTGCACCTTTTGCTTTATCATTCATTCTCGCCCACATATGTGTGTTTCTGTGCAATGAGTTTAATTCAGAAATATATTGCTTTCATACAAGTGAATCCTTCAGCGTGCATTCCCTAAGAGCACATTCTCTATTGTCAATGTTAGCACGATCAGGTAACTCAACATGGGTAAGATAGTATTGTTTAATCCAAAATCCACATTCAAAGGCTATCATTCATCCTAGGTATTACTCCTGGTCCTCACCAAATCTAGAACTGCATATTGCATTTAATTATCCTTACTCTTTTTAAAAAGTTTTTTTGAGTGAGAGACATTCATTTGTAGGTCCACTTACGTGTGCATTCATTCGTTGCCCTAACCGGGGATTGAACTGGCAATCTTGGCTACAACGCTCCTACCCGCCCAGGGCCTGAAATACTTTTGAAACTCTGAAGTAGATTGTGTCGCTTTTATACTTACCACCCTCCATGGCTCCCAGGAGCCCCAGACTGAAGGTCCAGCTGCTCGCGCAGGCGCGCCTCCTCTCCCTCTACTCCTTGCAGATGCCAGACCAGCCCCAGGTTTCCAGCAAGACTTTGGATGTGCTGGTCCCTCCGTCTACAACACTCTTCTTTCAGAAATGGGGTTCCACCCGCGAACACCCCGCTGTTCTGGATACAGGGGCCTGAACTCCAGCGACCTGGGCAGTAGACCCTCCTCAGCAGCTTCAAGATTTGGGTCAGGAAATGGAGAAGGAAACAGCCATCTGGGCCGGGATGGTCGCCGTCAGAACACGTGTATGCAACGGAGCTGGGAGCCGCGCGACAATGGCCGAGAGGAGCCGGGCGTCCCCAAGCCTCACACCGCACCTCAGGCCCCGCTCCCGAGCAGCGCCCAGAACGCCTCCTCCAGCGCCTTCCTGTTCCAGTTACGCAGCCCGCACAGTGAACTTGAACCTCTCAAGGCGCCACGCTGAAGGCCCCCCAGGCTCCCCACAAGGAAGATGCCAGAAGTCCTCAACCCGAAGTATTTGCCACGCGCTAAACCGTCACACGTGCGCTTCCATTGGGGCAGAGCAGCAAGAACGCTGGGCGCACAGTCTTTTGGGTAATGTAGTTCCTATCATACAGGCTATTGCTCCAAACTCGAAGGAATTTGAGGACCTCCAGAATCTGTAGGGAACGACAAATTAAAAACATGTCAAAGTAGAGTCATACACAAAAATAAACGTAAAATGGATTCGAGATTTAAATGTCGGACCTCAAACCAAACTAAAGAGATGTTCCACAGCAAAGGAAACCTTCAACGAAACAAAAACACCTACCGAATGGGAAAAGACACTTGCAAATAATATATCTGATAAAGGGTTTGTATCTGAAATATATGAAGAACGGACACAATTCAACATCAAAAAATAAAAGCAAACGACTTAAAAATGGGCAGACAATCTGAGTAAGCATTTCTCCAAGGAGGACATGCAGATGAACAGTGGACATACAAAAAGATGCTCAGTATCACTAATCATCAGAGAAATACAAATAAAAACACCAAAGAGATGCCTTAATGCCTGTGAGAATGGCGAGCATCAAAAAAAAAAAATCAACAAATAGCAATTGTTGGTGAAGATGTGGAGAAGAGGGAACCCTCCTATATTGTTGGTGGGATTGTAAATTGGTGAAGTCACTATGAAAAAGAGTACGAAGTTTCCTCAAAACTGAGAAATGGAATTACCGCAGGACCCCGCAATTCCACTTCTGGGCATTTATTTAAAGAAAACAGAAACACATTCAAAGTGACAAATGCACCCCTATGTTCACTGCAGCGTTATTTACAGTAGCCAAGATATGAAAACATCCTAAGTATCTGTCTATGAACAAATGGATAAAGAAGATGTAGTATGTACATGAATGTTATTCAGCAATAAGAATTAAATATTTTTATTAACTAAAGTTCATAAGTTATTCAGATTTCTTTTTTTAACCTAATGCCCCTTTCCACTTAAAGGGCTTCATCAGGGATACTACAATACATGTAATTATTATGTTCCTATAGGCATATATAATGAATATGAGTGATATATGAATATTATGATAAAAACACTTTTTCTTCATTCATCTTTATGCAAAGTGGATGAGACAGACAGAAAAAATACCATATAATTTCACCTATATGTGGACTCTCAAAAGCAAAAGAAGCCAACAAACAAAACATGCTTATAGATTCAGAGAACAAACTGGTAGTTGCCACAGGGGAAGCAGTAGGGAAATCGGTGAAAAAAGTGAAGGGGAAAAAAAGTATAAACTTCCAGTTATAAAATAAATAAATGACAAGCATACAATGTACACCACAGCGAGAATAGACAATGATATAACTTTGTACTGTGACAGATGGTCACTAGACCTTGTAGTGACAATATTGTACACATGAATGTAGAATCACTATGTTATACAGCTGAGACTAATAAAATACTGGATGTCAACTATATTTTAATTAAAAAAAAAGCAGAGCAAGCCAGGGCTGTATATGTATATGTAATATTTGAAAATCCAATTTAATGTCCATTTAACAACATAAAAGTTGGTGCAGGATTAGAAACAATGCATTCAAAGCGTTAAAAGACTGACACTTGACACAGTGCTTGCTTCCTGTTTTTCTTTATCTGCTTTGTGTTCTTTGTAAAGACTACCAAAATGAAAACCTTGGAGGAATTTCCAAGTTTAAAAAAAAAATCAAGTGAGTATCTGTTTGGAATAAAAAAATGAGAATTATATGCAAAAATATCTTTGTAAACTACATTATCAGCTAAAAAATAAGTACATAAAATTAGATAACATACATCCGTTGTTGACAGTAATTATTAAGTTGGCATGCTTGGTGGTGTTGCAAGAAAAAGCCACTAAGAGATCGTGCTAAAATAGTAGAATAGTGTGGGGGTGAGGTCAGGTGTTCATAATAATAGTTACAAGAGAGTGGGTGGAGGAGAGTAAAAGTGGAATAAATGGTAATGGTCAGAGACTTGACTTGGGGTTGGTGAACACAGTAAAGTGTAGAGATGACACATTGCAGAATTGGGTACCTCAAATCTGTATAATTTTGTTAACCAATGCCACCACAATAAATTCAATAAAAAAGGGAAAAAGTAAAACATAATTAATGTCCAAACTGTTCCTTTCGAGAAAAGATAAATACAGATAAAAATCCTTATAACCGCTGCCCAAAAATATTAAATGGAAAATTCCAGAAATATACACTTCATAATTTAAAAAAATAATAGTTATAAATGTTAAAATCCTAATATTGTGTTGGACTTTGAGATACTATCTATGAATGTCATAAGGCAACGACTATAAAATCTACAAAAGTTATTTTCATATATAGGTTGGAGTAATTTTTCTAAAATAGGCTAAGGCAAATCATACATTTACAAAAAGAAGCACATTTTATTTACTGAGTAGTGGAATAAAATTTACATTTAAAATTAGCAGAATAGATTACAAGATTCATATACACTCACATATTTAGATTCTTCATTCAAGGCTGGGATGTTAAGATAACACGTGACACTTTGAAATGAATGCTTTAAAAAAAATTGTTCCAAGGAGGTAGGGTATCGAACAGATAAGGCTAATTTTCATCCCTGCTTTTAAACATACATAAGAATTAATTTCAGATAAAGAAGACTTAAATAGGAATAAAAATATATACTTCTTAAAGGATTGTGGAAGAAAATGTACTTGTGAAAGGACAAAGCATGAGTTCTCCAAACAAACATAAAAATTATCACAGAATATACACACGCTCAGGGAAAGTAACAGTCTCCTTTTATTTAAAAAAAAATAGGAAAATTGAACTGGTAAGAACACACTTGAGAAGATACTGAGCCATATGTAGTTTTTAAATTTTTCAAACCTTTTTATTTATTGATTTGAGAGGGAGGGGAAGACATATTTATGCATTCATTATTTGATTATTATATGTGCCCTGAGCAGAGGTGGAACCAGAATCTTGTAGTATCAGGATGATGCTAAAACCAACTCAGCTACCAAGTCAGAGCAGGAATCGTATTTTGGAAAGAAGCCTTCAGACTAATAATCCTGAATAGACACATTAGATCAGCTTTTCTCACGTACATAACACGGTACTCTTTGCACAGCCCATTAGGATTGATTAGTTCAAATGCACGTTCTTCCCTCGGGATTCTGCCCCTTGGGATGGATCTTCTCAAGCACTTTTATTAGCTTTCCGTGGTCTGCACAATCCACAAGGATTTTCCGAGATAATCTGCACTCCCCATGCGCACTCTGTCAGCGCACTCACAGGTGACATGGTAACCGCTGCCTCACTGGCAGGGGAGCTCACCATCCAAGCCTTTGTCTCTGGCTTCTCTCTCCTGGTCAGGCACTTGCACAAACGCTGCCCTGGCAGTGCCCGTCCTGGGAGCACAGGCACATTCAGAAGATGGAGCTTTTCAGGGAAGTGTCAGACTCTTAGAAAATATTTATCTCAGTAAATCCAGGATGGATGATTCCTAAGCAATTGGGTTATGATTTGGGACAAAACCTTAGGTAATAAATAGATAGATAAAAAGATAGACTGAAGGACTCGGCCACTTAGAAATGAGAGGCATTTGCTGAGGAAACCAGAGGCAGGTCACACTCTTGTCGAATTGCTTCAGGGCTGACTGACATCTCCGCTCTCTCCTCAGTTCTGTTATTTCTGAAACTTCTCTCACTTGCCTCTCTGTAAACACAGGGACCAGAGCTGGGTTCATTGAAAAGGCTTCAAGATACAGCATAGTTCAAGTAATAAAATGCAGAAGATGAGCTGCCAGTCTGAGCGGACACCTAGTAGTCTGTGGGACGTCAGTTGCCAGTGTGTCCGTGTGTGTTGTTGGTCTGTTCTGTAACGATCAGGGGCATTGTGCCACATGGAGTCTTTAATAATGTGTCTCTGAGTTCCTCTCCTCCCTGTAGGATTATAACCACATTTCTCATTTAAAGTAAAGGGAAGCTCACTATCTGGTATGTGTGAAAATAAAAATGTTATGTAAAGTGAATATGGTTGAAAGATTGTGGGGTGTGGGAAAAAGAATAATAAGGACTTTCAATCAGAAAATACAGCGTAAATTTTATGCTGACATTCTCTTACTAATTCTAAACCCTTTTTACCCTTTGAGGGATGGCCTTCTGGATTGACCCATTGATGTATATCTATCTGTCTGACTCTCTATCCTACATGTTGTCCTCACCAGTTGGTGTATGTGGTAATTCAGTTTTATTCCCCCAAACATGAAAGACATACTGTATTTTTAAAATTCAAATTTTCCTTTCTTTAATCCATAATAAATTGCTGTGAAAAAAGTTCAGGCTCTAGATTCTAAACAAAAAATACTATTGAGGTAAAGGGGGTGTGAGTCAAAGAGGGTAACACTAAAAAAATATGTGACATCAACCTGTGAATTTTGTGCACACAAAAAACGTTTAAAGTATCTTCATTTTCCAGATCAAAATGATCTCCAGGTTTTTTTTAAATCCCTACACAAGGACATGTCCATTGATCTTAGAGAGAGGAAGGGGTAGAAAGACACAGAGAGACAGAGAGAGAGCATCAATGCAAGAGAGTAACATGGATCAGCTGCCTCCCATATGCACCCTTGACCAGGGATTGAACCAACAACCTAGGTATGTGCCCTGACCTGGAATAAAACTTGCAGACTTTTGGTGTATGGGGTGACATGCCAACCAGTTGAACCACTAGGCCAGGCCTGTTTGTTTTTTGTTTATTTTGCACACTTGGCAAAATTTTATCTATTTATTTCCTTTTATTTTAATAGATTTTTATGGACTTACATTTGACATAACATTGTACTAATTTAAGAGATACAACAGGTTAACCTGGTACATTTCTATGTTGTAATGTGATTGCCATTGCAGCAGTAATTATCATCTCTAATATGTGACATCATTATCCTTTCTTTTTAGTGGTTGCAATAATCAAATTCTATTTTTTTACCAGGTTCAATGGCCCTCTGAGGAGATTTCTTCTGCACAGGGTCTGTCTGTCAGTGAGTTGCCGTTGTACACAAGAAAAGCATAAAACTTTAATTTCTGCTTAAAGTGAAAAATAAGATTTATAAATACTGATAAGTACTTGACATATAAATGGCAAGACATTTATTTCTGCTTCTTTTTTTTCTCATTCTCTTGACTTCAGTTACAATCAACACCCCTAGATACTGATGCAACGGGTTCTGGAAAATTGGACTTGGGAATTATCTTCCTCACTCAAACTGCAGTGGGGATTCTGGGAAACTCCTCTTTCCTTTGTCTTTATAACTTCCTCTCATTCAGAGGACACAAGTTGAGATCCACAGATTTGATTCTCAACCAGCTTGCCTCAGCCAACAACCTGGTCCTTTTCTCCAAAGGGATAACTCAAACAATGGCAGATTTTGATATAAAATACTTCCTGGATGATGTTGGGTGTAAATGTGTCTTTTATTTCCACAGAGTAGGCACAGGGGCTTCCATCAGTATCATCTGTCTCCTCAATGGCTTCCAGCTCATTAAGCTGAACCCCAGTCTTTGCAGGTGGATGGTGCTCAAGATTAGATCCCCAAAGTTCATTGCTTTTGGCTGTCTCCTCTGCTGGATCCTTCGCCTCTTTGCAAATACATGTATTTTCATCATGGTGAGTGGTCCATTAATCAACCAAAACATTGGTGTAGAAAACAATTATGGACACTGTCAATGGACAATTTCAAAGAGATTTATCTTATTATATATAATCATATTTTTCACCTCACTTTTTGAGCTTGGGTTTCATGGTCTGGGCCAATGGCTCCATGGTCTTCATCCTGCACAGACACAAGCAGCGAGTGCAACGCATTCACAGCAACAGACTTTCCCCCAGACCTTCCCACGCAGCCACAGCCACATACACCATCCTGATTATGGTGAGTTTCTTTGTCACCTTTATTCAGCCTGTACCATTTTGACTCTTTGGATGACTCTATTTTCCAGTCTGGGCCAGTGGATGGTGAACAGCTCTGTGTGTGTGGCATCATGTTTTCCAGCATCCAGTCCCTTTGTGATCATAGTGTGTGATACCCGAGTCTCCAAGTTTTGCTTTGGCCACAAGGTCAAGTGTAAATTATTTTTCTAATCTGGTTACAGGGCTATGAGACTGTTTTCTAGGTGGAATGAATTCACTCACTTCACATTGGTTAATATTGGTTAAACACTCCATGCTAGAAAATTATGACAGATGTGACAGCCAAAACCAGGAATGTTCCCTGGATCTTACCATAGAGGTAAAACGAATAGCACCTACTCTCATATGAGCAACACTCACTCTAATCGGGAAAGACTCTGTAGAGGTCAAGTTCAGAGAATTCTGAAACCATGTAAAACAGGAAATTTCTACATTTAGGAAGTTAGGGGAAATCTCTCACTTTTGGTGTGATGAAGATGCATGGAAGATTTTTTAAAAATATACTTTTGAACACAGTTGGGTCCAGTTCTATCTGACAGAAGGAGAATCACCTGGAAAGACCCTATTCAACCCCAAGAAATTGGAAGAAATAGCGTGTGTTTAGGGTGCAGAGAGGTAGGGAAAGCAGAAGACTGTGAAACAAGAAAAGAAGGTGATAGAGGGTCTCAGTGAGCACTAGGATTGGACAAGAGTTGGACATTTGTTTACAAAAAAATGGCAGGTTGATGAAGGAATCAAACTATAGATAAATGTCAGCAATCCTTATTTTAAATTATTAATAATTTACTTTAATATTCACTTGTTCAATTAATAATTCTTTAAATAACATTATAATATAAATGCATCAAAAAATAAAACACCCCAACATAAATTTTACCCAGAAGGTGAAAGATTTGTACACTAAAAACTGTAGGACTCAATGAAAAAAATTGGAGAAATGAATAATCAAAATGCCATATCTATTGATATACTGTCTTTGATTTCAATTCATTTTATGTTTTCTGGTCCCAATGACTCCCACTTCTCTCTTTTCCCTCTTCTCTTATTTTGCTTCCTTGTCCTAGTTCTATCATAAATTTTTATTACATTAGTGATTTAGCAATTGTCTTCATCTTGTTAGTATTCAATTAAAGTGACATTTTAAAAAAGATTTTATTTATTTATTTTTAGAAAGAGCGGAAGGGAGGGAGAAAGAGGAGAGCAGCGTAGATGTGAGAGAAAAACATAGATCACTTTCCTCTTGTACATGCCCCAACGAGGGACCAAACCCACAACATAGGCATGTGTCCTGACCTAGGATTGAACTAGGATTGAACCGACAACATTTCATTTAATGGGACAATACCCAGCAACCTGAACCACACTGGTCAGGGCAAGTATCACTTCAGAGAATAAGGTACAAAATGACTGGGTACATTTGGGCCCTGTGCTCTCCAATCCTAAGGCAAAGCAGGTAACATATTGTTAGCTTGCAGGCTGGAGAGGCCACTAAAGCAGGAATTTAGGGATCCCAGGGGACAGCAACCAAGTAAAAAGTGGTGTTCTAAATCCAAAGTCCTGGGAAAATGCGAATCTGCCAACAAACACGTAAGTTTAGAAGAGGATCATCCCCAGGTGAGCCTTCAGATGAGACCACACCCCTGGTAGATGGGTTCACTGTGACCTCACTAGAGATCTAGAGACAAAAGTTCTCAGCTAAGCCACACCCTGCTTCCTGAACCCAGAAACTGAGATAGTAAATGTTTGTGAAAACACTTAGTAAAAAACTCCCTAAGTTTCCATATAGGTTTTTCCTTCCTTTCTTCCTGCCTTCCTTCCTTCCTTCCTTTCTGTCTTTCTTTCTTTCTTTTTATGAAGAAGTATATAAGTAATAGTAAGACCAAGTGAGGAACAGTTTCAATGTTCTTCTGCATCGCACTTCAGTAGAGAAGTCTCAGTCTCATCCAGGCGTCTCCACTCCTCCTGGGAGAAGTACATGAGCACAATCCTGAAGGTCACACCATCCTGCCATGACGGGAACACTGGACTCTGTGAGCAGGCTCTTTCCCCAGGACACCAGCCCATGTGCTTTCATTTCTACCCTGCCAACCACTCACCACAGCTCACTACCCAGAGGAGTTTCCCGGACCAAGAGCCACTGATGCTCTCTGCTCATGCCCCCTGGTATCTGTGTCAGCCCACAGATATAAGGGGCAGGGATGCAGCTAGATGATGCCCTTAAGTTCTATATGTTGACATGAAGGGCCTCATCCTTCTCTTAAAAAGACAGTTCTTTTGGGGGTGCTTCCAAGTGTGCCTCCCTGACACCATAAATTTAGGCTGACCCTTCTATCTTCAATCCTGATGACCTGATTCAGCTCTTCCTACCTGCACAGAATTCTCCGGACGGCACGTCCGTCACATCTCTGGCCTGTCTACCTCCACTCTCCTGCTCATCCTTGGCATTCACACATTTCTGTACTGACACCTAGAGAGTGCCCATCTACCTGCGTAAAAACAATCATACCTACCCAGGTGCACAGATAAAAGGTAGTTCTTTGCTCCAGCCTTGCCCCCTTTGCACCCTGTCAGCAATGCCACCATGACCTGGAGATAACCCTGCAAATCACCCCCACAGCCCTCCACCTGTTCTACCGCCAGCCATGACCTTGTGAGTGTCTCTGGTCTGAGCCTCTTTCCAGAAGTCGAGCTGTGTGTATCCAACTGTTCATTTTCTGTCTCCACTAAAGGCTCTCTGGGTCTTCTTAAATGTTGTTATGCAGAAAACCTCACTGCCCATATTTTCTCAGAAACTTACTCCTACTACTCAGTTCTCTATCCCTGGTGATGGGGTGTCCATCCTCATAGGTATTGAGGCCAGAACCCTGGAGCCAGTCAACTCCCTGGCATACAGAATCCAACCATTTCTCCCACACCCACAGCCACGCGCCTGGTCCAGTGGCCCTCACAGCGCTCCAGGCTGCTTCCATCATCTCCTCCTTCACTACGAATCTTCTCTCCATTCCAAAGTCTCAGAGAATCTCTTAATGTACGTGGGAGAACGTCTCCGTCCTCTGGTCCAAATCTTCCGTGGCCCCAAAACCCTCAGTACAGAGGCCAGAGCACTCAGCCTGCGGCTCCATTCCCCATCCTGCCCTCTCCGTGCCCCTTTCCCATTGGTGGAAAGGGGACTGGAGTTTCCCTGAACATTCTCCATCACTTTCAGCTCCAAGTACTTCAAGATGCTGGTTCCTTTGACAACCCATTACATTGGTGGCCAGAAATATGAACTTAACCATGGGTGCTGTGGACTGGACTTGGGAAACTGGGCCTAAGAGAGTCCCCAAAGCTCTGGACCCAAAAATCAGGAGCTAGATGGACAAGAGTTTAGAACATTGTGCTTCTTTATACAAGGTCCTTGAGGACACATGGGGGCATCTGGGCAGGTGAAGCTTAGGCCCCTCCATCCATCCACCTCTGTTGCCTCTCTTAGCGTGGCCTCTGTTGCAAGACCATGAACTGATCCGGATAGTGAGAAGTGGTCACCATTCAATTGAAATGACAAGAAAGCACTTGAGAAGATACTGAGCCATCTATAGTTTTTGTAAGGTCATATATAGATAATAAATAATTTAAATAAATTCTACACATAGGTGAAAGTTTTAAAACCAGAGACTGAAAAACTCTTGTATGCCTCTATAGATTAGAAGTACAAAAAGCAAAAGTAAAACAAAAATAACATTACCAGCAATTTGGACAATCACATTATAGGCACAGATACATGGAAGAGACCGACAGCTGTCTGAGGGAAGGGTGGTGGGGGGACTGGAGGAAAGAGGATGAAGGGGGTAAGCAAAAAAAACCCCAACAAACCCATACATATATAACACAGAGACGGACAGCAATAGCCAGAGGGAGAGTGGGGGTGGGGGGATGTGCGGGTGGGCAAAGGAAGGATAAATGAAGAAGGAAAGAAACTTCGCTTTGGGAGATGGGCGCACGATGCAATGTGCAGATGATGTTTTGTTGAGTTGTACACGTGAAACCTGTATGGTTTTGTGAACCAATATCACCCCAATAAATTCATTTAAAAAATAAAAAAAAATAAAAAAAAATTAGGAAAGCCCTAAAGAAATAGAGGAATATTCAGGGAGAAAATGAAACGCATCAAACTGATGAGACTCAATAGCTTTAACCTACCAAATTGGTAACACAGAAGACATTTGTAAATATTATAAACTATCTTTGGGTGTCTAGGCGGGGCATGATTCATTTGGAGAAGAGTTTGATATCATACAGTAAATTTTAAATGATATCTCTTTGTGCAAAAAACAAAACACCTTCCTCCTATTGATATACACATTACAAGAAACAGCGTGTACAAACCAGAAACATGGAAGTCTGTCTAAGTCCCAGGCTCGTAATTGTGAGAAATATGAAAACACCAGGAAACAAAAATATCTTCAAGTGAAGGTAAAATTATATATTATGTAGTCATACAAACATGAAAAAAATCGTGATGCATGTGTTAAAAAGAAATGTCACATACACTTAATTTTCACTTTTTTTTTTTTTTTTTTTGGCGTTTACTTAGTGGTTCATGACCTGGGAAGTATCCAGTCTAGAAAACAGAAAGGAGTTCCAAAGAGCTGCACAGAATGCATAGATCATATAGACAAAATCACAAGACTACGAGGAAGTTATATTGGGTGATAGCTGTTAGTTCTAACAGGGTTACTTTCCTAATATGTAGCAAAGGGCAGTATCGATGCTAGGCTGTGAGAAACTAACAGTGAGCAGACATATTGCGATTGGCTGTCCTTAGCATTCTGCTTCTCAGAAAAGCTAGCTTCTTGATAAACATGCAAAATCAAATGTACAATCAGCAACGTGTCTCCCCATCTAATTCTGTGTGCAGAGGCACCTGCTCTGCTCAGGCTGGCATCATGAGCAGAAGTCATGAGAGCCTCATCCTTCGTCCGCATTACCCCAGATGGTGTCCTGAGTGGTGGACATACATGGTGACTAAGACATGGAAAACCCACATGATCACACAGAGGTGTGGTCTAGAGCTTGGCAGCTGTGACAATAACATGTCTGTGGCCTCGTTATGGCAAAATGAAGGGTGAAGTCAAAACTTAGTTATAGAGAACAACTGTGTGTTGACAAGAGGGGTCCAGTGGCCAACAGCT